TGGTTGGCTAAATCCCACAGCTGCTGAGTCGCAGGTCCTTCCTACCTCCTGTTGCCCTCCCCACCACGAGTGAAGAGCCCCTCGGGCCAGCTGTCCCGGCTGGAAAGTTCTAGAAACGCCAGTAATGCAGGAAGCAGTTCCTTTCGCTGTTTCTAAAGGCTCGGAGTGGCTCCTCCTGCCCCTTGACCTTCTCCCCCAGCCCAGTGGTGCTGAATTCTCCTCTGCTGGCATCCTCAGAAGCAGCTCTGGTGGCGCAGTGGTTAAAGCACTCAGATGCTAACCGGCAGGTCGGCGGTTCCAACCCACTAGCCACTCCATAGGAGAAGGATGTGTCGGTCTGTTTCCATAAAGATTCACAGTCCTGGGAACCCTATGGGGAAGTTGTACTCTGTCCTCCAGGGTCGTTATGAGCCGGAACCGACTCCAGGACAACTGAAAACCACGCGCTCGGGTCAGAGCTGTCATTATTATCTAATTACAACGCTGCTTTGAATCACGTGGTTTTGTCTGCACGCGCTACAAACCTGCGCTGTTGTTTCCTTGTCGCTGGCGTTCTTACAGTTGATTTGGTCAAGTTTTCTGGTGTTTTGGCTACAATATTGTGGTAATTAGCATGACCCTGCGCCACCGCTGAGCCTGGAGCGGGCACTGAGAGCCTGGTGCTCAGTTACGCCCGCCATGTGCAGCGGCGGCAGGGAGCAGACCGATCGAACGCACGTCTTCACATGAGATGCTTGTGGCTCGGCACCCCGTCCTCAGCACTGGGTGCCCCCATGAGGCCGCGGCCCGGGTCTGGGCTGGGCGGGAGGCACTCAGGTGCTGCTTACCTGGTTCTGTCCTGATTTCCTGCTCCCCCGCCCCCGCCCTGGACAGAAGGTCGGTGGTTCTTGGGGAAGAATAGATCCTTTGTGTTTTTCTTCCTTTCTTCCAGCGCCTAATTAGGAGCTATGCTTGGGAATCCAGCTAATTAATCTTTGCCAGCCCGGGGCGAGATCAAGCTCGGGTGCGCTATCAGTGTTGATCAGTAACTCACTGCTGAAAGAGCCTGAAAAACAGCCCAGCTCCTTTCAGCACGCGCCTTAATGAGGCGAGTGGGTGTGGGGTGAGTGGGTGTGGTCGCCCAGCCTGGAGGAGAGTGCATCAGGGAGCGGCAGGGAGAACAGGTGGCCCCCACAAGGCCACCTAGGCCTCCTACTCACAGGGACCCCATGTGTTCAGAGCAGAACTGTGCTCCAGTAGGGTTTTCAATGGCTGTGACCTTTCAGAATTAGATCGCCAGGCCTTTCTTCCAAGGCACCTCTGGATGGATTCAAACCATCAACCTTTTGGTTAGTAGCCCAGTGCTTAAATGTTTGTGCCACCCAGGGCCTCCTAAGGCCCTAGGAGGCAGGGTTGAAGCTTCATTACTGCGCTGCTTTGGAACATCACCCCATTTTTCTGAGCTGCGAGGGTGGTCACTGGGAGTACTGAGAGCAAAATGATCATGGCAAATGGCCAGGTTGTATTTCAGGACGAGACAGGCCTTCCTGCATGCTTGCTGGAGGTCCAGCCTTGGGCCTGCTCCTGACCCTTGCCCAACAAGACCAACTGCCCAGGAAAAGGGCCTCCGGCTTGCAGAAAGGGGCCTGCTCGAGGCCAGGGAAATGGAAGAAAGCAAAACAGCCTCACAGGGCTAGAAGAGACAGCAGAAGGAGAGACCTCACCCTGGGGAGCAGGAAAAAGTGGTCACTTGGAGCCTTCTAGAAAGTTCGTGCTGTCCCTGGGGACCCTATGGGTCTACGCAGGCTCGATCTTCAGATATAGAATGGTCTTTTCCTCCAGAGAGGAAGGAGCAGCTGTTTCTCTTCCCAAGGAGACTCCCAGGACCCAGCGGGGAGAAGATGGGGAGAGTGAGACAGAGCTCAGTGGGCCGGGAGGAACCCGGGATGCTGAAGACCTTTGGAAGAGTCCCAGACCACATCGTATCAAACATATTAAAGTGAGCTCCAATCCCATATTAAATAGTAACTTCATTTTGCTGTAAAAATTTGAGAAGATTTTTTAAACTGTTTTTGCAATTAATTTCAGTTTTGCCATTTTTTATCTTTTGGCACCGTTAGATTGTTTTCGGTTAGCAAACAGTTTCACAGGCTTTGAAAGGTTTGGGGGCCTTGGGCGTTGTGTTTTGCCTCAAGACAAAAGGGTTCAGGGAGGGCCTGAGAGGTTTTCACGTGGGACCCTGCCTAGTGGGGCGCTGACCCTGCAGAGTGAGAAAGGAGACTATGCAGCAGGCGGCAGCTGGAGCCCTGGGAAGGGATTAGCGGCCTGGGATAAAGCCAACAGAAAAACTCCTTCAGGTGTCTTCTGGCAACAACTAAAGAGGGAAAGAAAGACAGGAGAGGCATTCCTTCTCCCATGCACAGGCCCCTGTAGAGGGCAGAGGTGAGAACCCCTGGGGCTGAGGGTCTCAGGGAAGCACCCCAAAACGATGAGGACAGCGTGGCCTTCCGAAGCCAGGTGTCCACAAGGACTTCGTGGACCATCCTCTGAGCCAGCAGGCAGAGACTCTCACTAGGTCTGGGGAAGGACACCAGAATACTAAACACGGCCATATTACATAAACCCACCCCAGAGCCCAAGAAGAAGGAAGCGGAAAGGGATTCATCTTCCCAAACGACAAGCATCACTTGCCTGTGGAATGCTGTGGGAGAAGGAGCTACGAGTCTTGGAACACTAGTCAGCCTGGTGAGGTCAGCTAGGTCCCGGCGACGGCACAAGACCCTTTCGCTTCGCGATGAGGGGCTGCGGAAGCCACAGAGGCGTGCCTCTGAGGGCTCCCTTCAAGGGGCAGCTGTTGGGCGAGCTGTGAGCTGTCAGCCTCCGGCCTCAGCACCTTTGCTGCACTGCTCAGACTGGGGCCTCATTCTCTCCAGCAGCTTCCAGCCACGGCTCGACCACTGCCAGGACGTCAAACCGAAAAGCCAAATCTGTTGCCGAGTCGATTCTGACTCATAGCGACCCTGGAGGACAGAGTAGAACTGCCGCGTAGGGTGTCTACGGAGCACCTGGTGGATTTGAACTGCCGACCTACATTTTGGTTAGCACCGAGCTCTTAACCACTATGCCACCAGCGTCTCCACAGGGACATTGTCAGTCCTTTTTATTTCCTCCCGACACACGACTCCCCTATGGATGATCTTTGGGTAGGTGCCCCTCACCCAGGACTCTCTCAAGCTGCAGGGTAGTCGGAGGCCTTTCTTACTTCTCCTTCCTGCCCCTTCTCTCAGGTGAAGGCTTTCCCTGCTACACCTTACTCCTCTCCGTTATTTTCCACACGTACTAGTTCCAATCAATCCCTTGTACTTGTAACTCCATTTCGGCATCTCCTTCCTTGAAGACCCAGACGCAGCTGCCAACCCACAGAGACCAGGCAAAGCCTGCTGGGTTTTTTGAAATGTAAAGGTTAAAAAAAAATCTAGCCTTGGGAAGGAACTGAAAATAAATGCAATGTTCCATTGGACTCTGGCTCCAAAGAACATAGACTCCTGCACAGAACTGCATGTCAAAGCCAGGTGGGTTGACACCTAGGGGGCTGACTGTACCACCATGTACCTCACAGGATGGTGGAAGAGGAATCATCCTGGTAGCTAGTTATAAGGGAAGCCACTATTTATTTTAAAAATATTTATCATTTATTGAGTACTTATTATGTGACAGACACTATGGTAAGAGCTTGTCATACATTGTTTCATTCCATACTTACACAATTCTGCCTAACAGGTATCTCCATTTTTCAGGTAAGGAAATGAGAGTAATTAGATATTGAGCTTGGATTTGAATCATAGACAGATGCCAAAGCTAACACTCTTTAACCTTTAACCAACACACACAGAGTGAGTGATGTATATTTGAAGTGAGCTTCCATGGAAGAAAAATATGAACTACAGGAGAGAAAAATGGAAGAAAAAAGTGAAGCAGAGAACAGAAAAAGGAAGTCACTGTATAGAATGGGCCTAAAATCTGTAAAGAGAAAGAAAAGGCAGGGGTGTTTTGTAGGAAACATTTTAAGTGTCTTCACCTGTTACCAGTTATGTGCTCTTGAACACATACAACTTCTCTGGGCTTCAGTTTTTATAAATCTGCAAAGGAGGCAGTGACTAGATGGTCTCTAACTTTCATTTCAGCTCTGACATTACATATATGTCTATGTATGTATATGTATGTGTATATATACACACACACACATATTACATAATTTTATTAAATGGACTTTTTTAAAAATTATTTTGTATAAAGAGAAATCAAACTAAAAAGTTGAACTGTTCCCACCAAGTCTGCTGGGCTGCCAACGTGAACAGTGGATTTTGGAACCCACCAAGAGAAGCAATTTGCCAGGACTGCAAGGTGTGGTGTGTCTGTGGGTACCTCCTTCACAGGCCTACAGAAAGTCACTCACTGTTTGTCCAGGGAAGCGCTGGGGCTTTTGCCTGGAGGGAAGCCCTCACGGATCTCACTGTGCGCATTTTTGGTTGGGGAGAGGGAGGGTGGGTGGAGACTGGGATTACAGTTGAACTTTTTATCTGAAACAGTAAATAATACCATTCCCTAATGACACAGGCTTTTTGAGAGAAACGGGACATGAAACATACAAAACCGCTTTGAAGAACATCAAGTCGAAAAACCCCGTTTGAGTCTTTTCCCATCTTCTTCTACTAATGAATAGATCACCTTCACTAATCGCCGTTTTGGTCGACCTTCAGCAAAAGGCTAAAAGGCCACCATCAGCAGAGAGGGCGAGAGGAGACACACACAACCCAGAGAAGCTCCAGACTAGATTATCAACTGAGCTCTGACAAGTTTCACTCTGTCCCGAAGGGTTTCTCAGATAATGCCGCATGTAATGCAGGTATGAAACGCAGTGCGGGCTTTTCTGGGAGAAATGAGATGGAGAACAGAAAACAAAATGAGCTACTCCTTGAAAATGAGAAATGTAAAAAAAAAAAAAACTCAATAGTTTACCATGTTAAAAAAAAGATGGCACATTTATTGCTACATAAATGTTATATACATATTGAGTTTTCTGTTACAGTGACAGAAAAAATTTTGAACTTCTTGCTGCTGGTTGAAAAGGTTTATCAATAATACCTTGAATTTGACACAGGATACAAATCTGCAATAAACCAACAATGGAAACTGGAGAACAAGATGAGAAGCAATTCATCTCGGACAATTAGCTCTTACAATACTCCATAGGTACTACACGGTATGCTAGAATCCTACTATGGTCTTAAAATGCTATTGTAAATTTCTGATATTAATGAACAGGTTATGGTAAATAACCCTACATTTTTACTACCTAATATAATAAAATAAAGTAAGAAACTTTTTACTGAAAACTTTTCGATTTCAAAAATCTAGAAAGAGTAATATTTAGAATTCAAGAAATTTTCTTACAAGATTATTGTATAAAAGACTAGCTACAGTGAAAAATAAGCCAAATGTTTTTTTTTTTTTCTTTCTATTTTATGAAGGAAAGCTTCTGGGCATACTGCAAAGTCTAATAGAGCGAAAAAGACAACAAGCTCCGAAGAAAAAAAGGCCAGGCAGTGGCGTCTGTGCGCTCACACATCATAAGAGACAACTTGTTTAGCTGACTAACACTGAAATGAAGAACAAGGCCGCAGACAGTCTGATGTAACTGGGGAACAGATGCAAACTAAAGTAACCAAAAAGTCCACGAAGTTCACAAACGACTGATTAGTTAGGAATCATCCTGATTGGAGGATCTGAAGTTCCGTCTTAATTGCTTTTGTTCTTTCAAATTAACTGACATCTTTAAGTTACATAGTGATTTGGGTCCTTTCTTCTGTGTGCTGATTGCCATTGTTGAGATTGGCTATAACCAATTATTAAGCCAAGACAACCTTGTTTAGCATGTTTCTCTCTCCCAGGGTTGTTGTGGTGGAAGACGGATTTTATGGAAGTTCAAAGTGATTATGATGTCTTAAAAACAACTCCTAAGGATTAGACAGAGGGGCGCCTTAACGCGCAGTAGTAAGATGACCTGACAGTACTGGTCCAGTGCTAATCTGGCTCACCTTCTTGGGACAGGGCAGATGGTTTGCAGCTGATTGGATCACCCACTGAATTCCTCCCTACCGACCAGCCATCCAAATGAAAGAGAAACCAAGCCTAGGCTAAGGGAACACAGGGGACCTCTGCCCTTGGGTTCCATTAGGTAATTAGCCGTGGAGTGGCGTGTTCATTTATCACACTACCTGCCTTGGTGACTTCTGGGTTTTCTTATTTCACCATAATCACAGCCTGAAAATCTTCTTTGTGTTTTAAATGCATTTTGTGCTTACTTACAGCTAACACTTTACAAGTACTATGTGTAGTACTCACTGCTTGGAAAACAAAGCCATTTCTAAAAAGTAGACTCTTCTCTTGTAATTTACACTGTTTGCTATTACAAGCTTTACTATGAAACCTAGAAGCTTGAAAAGTCTTGGTTATTATTAGAAATAAAGCAACGTTTATTTTGGGGAAATCGGGGTGGGGGGGCGAAACTTCCCCTCGTAAGATCTTAGCTAGGCTATGGTCACAGATGGTGTCTGCTCACCGTCGGGTGAGTGTGCAAAGAACACAGGGCTGCGTGGAGGTTCTGGACTGTGACCATAAACTCTTAAGATTCAGAAACCAAATAACACCCACAATGAGAAAAACAAAAACAAGTGAAAAAATGAGCGAGAGAAATGCTATACCAAGTAATATTTTCCTATTTCATGGAAAACACTATTCATATGGCAAAAGGATCGGAGAGGGCGACAAAAGACTTTTCCCTTCCTTTTTAAGACACTAACAGGTTTGCCGGGAATGCTAAGGGCAAGTGGCTGTCACTGATTTCTTCTCTGCACGGGACAGCTTTCACGAGTGCTGGCATCAGCTGAGCGTAGGTCAGCTTTCCACATCAACTTTTTCCCTTTATATGTAGACCTTACAGTTCCACAACAATAAATAACATTTGTAGTTACAATGCATTTGTCAATTCAGTTTAGGCACAAGGCAACCTCCACGGTGAGTGGAGAGATCGAGACGGTCTCTGATTGTGCAGAAGCGACACAGTGCTTGCAACAAAATGATATGTTCCAAACATCTCAAGGGCCGACACGCTATCTGACGAGCTTCCTAGCTTCACTTCTGACGGAAGTGTTGACCAGTTGCTTTGATCACAGGATCACATAGGAGTTTCTTGCTTCAAGTGTTTTGTGTTTTCTTCTCCCTCCTGTCAGGTTTGTGTCTTCAGAAAATCTGAGTTGTCCAAAGTCCTTGTGAGGAGAGGTCACCTTCTATCTAGCCTACTGATAACTCTGGAACTGTGGCAGGAAGAGCAGAGGAAAAGAAAGGTGTCAGTTAGTACACAATTGTGAGAAACAGCCCCTCCCCCCACAAAAAAATGAAGTTGGCATTTTTATTTATACCCAGGTTTGCACCAAATTAGCAGTCTGCTAAATGACTTATAAACGAGCTTCTTCCTTTTGAGGTGTAACTGAAATGATTTGCGTGTGGTGAGATTTTTAAAGGAGATCACGCATTTACTAAATCACAAGCTATAGGGTTATAGGACAGCTGTGGCAATTAAGGAAACCTTGATTTTGGCAGCAGTGGAGTTGGCAATCCCGGGCTCGAAGGCTCTACTCTTCCTCTCTCTGTGGTGAGACGGATCAAAGCTGACACTGGCTGCTGCATCTCACCCGCCATTTGCATTGACAGTTCACTCTGTTCCTCCTCTGAACGGAACATTTCTAAGTCGGAGGCTGTTCTGCGCACATCTTCATACTGGTCCCAATACTGTCTACACCAGGTCCTCAATACACGTTTAATGACTTTATCAAGAAAGCCTCTACTCTATTGTGGTTAAGAGCTCAGCTGCTGACAAAAAGGTTGGCAGTTCAAATCCACCAGCCGCTCCTTGGAAACCCTATGTGGCAGTTCTATTCTGTCCCGTAGGGTTGCTATGAGTTGGAATCGATTCAACGGCAATGGGTTTATACATATCTATGCCCCCGATCTACATAGCAGTAACTCTGAAATTTTCCATTTTAACCATTTTGGATGGAAATATTTTTAGGAAGAATCGCACCCCTCACTTCGTCATTCGACAGTGTTCTTGTTGGGTGCCACGGAGTCAATTCTACACAGGAGAACTGCCCCATAGGGTTTTCTAGGCTGTAATCTTTATGGAAGCAGGTCACCAGGTCTTTCTCCCACAGAGCTGCTGGGTGGGTTAGAACTGCCAGCCTTTCAGTTAGCAGCCGAGTGCTTATCCGTGGCGTCACCAGGGCTCCTTCATTAACCAGTAGGGCATTATGTGGTAACAGAGCAACACCCCTAGGGATGGACAACTGAGACACGTGGGCGTCCCTAGCCTTCTATGACATGGTGCCAAGTCCTGCTGCTTTCACAGTTAAGTCCTTCTGGGGTCACTTCTCAGCCATTTTGGTTCTAGCAGCAGTTTTTCGGCTGCCCCGTCTCTTGCTGGTCTTAATCTGCTGTCTATTTCTAGAAAGAACTGACAGTATCCAGTTAAACCGAATCACCACCTCCCTGAAATCAGCAACCTTTAAAATACATTCCAAGATAATAAACACTACCCATTGTTGTCGAGTCAATTCCGACTGACAGCGACCCTACAGGACAGAGTAGAACTGCCCCATAGGGTTTCCAAGGCTGTAATCTTTACGGAGGCAGACTGCCACATCTTTCTCCTGTGGAGTGGCTGGTGGGTTCGAAGAGCCAATGTTGTGGTTAGCAGCCAAGTGCTTAACCACCGCACCAGCAAGGCTCCTTTAATAAACCAGTAGCCTATAAAATATATGGAACGAAGTGCATTTACTACATTTCTCATAATCTTGATGTCTTTTCACCTTTTGTTTCAGAATCCTGTTCCCCTGCTGATATGTGAGAATTCTCAAGGTTTAAGTGGAGAGATTTCCACATTATGGAGAGAGATTCAGGGTAAAGATAGGAAAGCAGTAAGAGCTACAGAAAAGAACAAGGAAATAAGTAGAACGGAGAGAAGAAAGATATGAGGCTGGGAGAGAGGGCTGAAGAAGAGCGAGCTAGAGAGAGGTTGGGAAGAGAAATGGGTACAACCAAAAAGACAAGAAACACAGGACATAGGCCTCAGAGTAGTGTCATGGTGGAAACAAAGCCCCCTTTTTCACAGCTTGTGGTCATCTGATACCTAAGCATAAGAAGCTGCTTCTCATCACTCTTCTTTGAAATGATCGGCCGATTTAGAAAGTCTCTTTTGCATTGAGAAACAGTGACATGCTTTTATTTTTAGACTTCAAAGTTTATTTATGAAGCAGACATATTTATTTTTCCATAGTACTTCGCTTTTCCATAGAGTATGAAACAACGGCCTAGGTTTTAGAAGATCTGTCAGTTAACCAGCTCTTGCCTAAAGTCACGTTGATGTGAATAATCTGTTAGATTGTTGGGTATTTTGGTGGAGGAGGTGGTTTTGGGAGTTTTCTCTGGAATCTTAACACTATTCATTTTAACTGACATTTAAATTAAATTAAATATTGACATTTCCTCCTTTTTTCCCCAAATGAAATCTTCACCTGTGGCCTAGTCTGACCCTAAAAAGGACATATGTAGTGGTGGTGGAAACCAAATTCTTCAGGAAAAGGTGAGTTATTTACTAATGTTTGTAGTTTACTACCTCATCAAATTCCAGACTTTCAGCTCAAAACAAGATAGCCATGTTGCTGTAAGTTACCCTCAAGTGGATTCCAATTCTGACTCATGGCAACCCCACGTGGCGAGTAGAACTGCTTCTTAGGGTTTTCAAGGCTGTGAACTTTGCGAAGTAGATTGCTAGGCCTGTCTTCCAAGGTGCCTCTAGGTGGGTTCGAACTGCCAACCTTTTGGCTGGTGGTCCTGAGACACCCACAAAGCTGACCAAATACAACCGCACTTGATGTTTTTTTCTGCTCCACACGTCCCATCCATTTACTGCACTTACTGCTTTTAATCTGCTGATGGAATTGAGGAAGGACTGCTCACTACGGAAGGCAGATTATAAAACCACGTGACCAGTTCTATTCCTAATCCATTCTACTGCCCAAAATGACTGCAGTTTATGTGGATTTCTGCCACCTCAATATCAGCTTTGCAAGTTAGGTGACAGACAATGCGAATGTATACCAAAAAAAAAAAAAGATGATTCAAGTCAACCACTGCGTAGGCAACAACCTCGATTTACTTTGGTCACTTTAAAAAAATAAAAAAATCATGAGGTGAATTGTATTTAGTCCACAAAGAGGGAGATAAAAAGAACAGTCTTTCAGCAACTAAAACTCCACCATAGAGAGGGGCATTCTGGCTCTATCACATATAACCCATTGCCATCAAGTTGATTCCAACTCATAGCGACCCTATAGGATACAGCAGAACTGCCCTGCAGGGTTTCTAAGGAGCTGGTGGATTCAAACTGCCAACCGTTTGGTTAGCAGCCAAATGCTTAACCACTGCACTACCAGGGCTCCCATCACATGTAACAGATTCTACAGGGTGTAACTGATGTGTGTACAACGAGGAGGAACCTACATATGAGAAACTTGCATTACTGAGGCACTGGCAGCAAGCAGTAACTCGCATGCGTGCAGGCTTCACGATCAAGAGCTCGATGGTAAACAGAAGGGGGGTGGCACAGCCCAGCACTGAGGAGAGGAACGAGGAGAAGGAGCGGTAGCAAGAGTAGTTTTTGATGGTGAGTCATTTCAGTATTTTCTTCTTGGATCAGAATGATAATTCACATGAGAGAGTACACATAATGATCCAGAACAGAAGAACCAAAAGCATTTTATACATCACAGGACACTACCACACCTTGAAGAAGAATTTGGTATAAAATGACATTAGCTCTCCAAGTTTGATTATAAAACAAAGACAAGCTACTGGATTCCAAATTACATGTGACCTTTACAATGACGAGGGCCACCAGAGAACTCTGTTCTAAGGTTCTAACCCAGGTGATGGTGAAGCAGGTGATTTCCTTGCACTTCTCCCAAGCCCATGCTTACCTGGCTGATGTTTACATATGACCCATAGGGTTGGTAGTTTCAGTAAGCCCAGGATGGCTTCCTGGCAGTGTAGTTGGCGGCTCTGCCGATACGGCAGAAACTTTTTCTTCTTCCCTTCTCTTAAGGCAGGCTGCTTTGGGGTTAAGGTTCCTCTCTGAAACGGGAAAATAATTTCTATCATTATGGTCATAAATTATGAATCAAAGACTGTGTGGTCTTAAACAAATCAAACTGACGTTATTTTTTTCTCTATGGGGGATTATCACCCAACCAGTAAACCCGCGGCCGTCGAGTTGATTCTGACTCATAGCGACCTTACAGGACAGAGTAGAATGGCCCCATAGGGTTTCCAAGGAGTGGCTCGTGGATTCAAACTGTGGACCTTTTGGTTAGCAGCTGAGCTGTTAACCACTGCGCCACCAGGGCATATCAATCCCTGTCAAACTCTGTGTAATTTAACTCCCATATTAAAGAAGTATCACATTACAATGACGTGCTCACACAAAATCTCAGCATTAAATGAGCCTTTGGATTGGTCCTTCTTCGTGACCATTTTGTGTTTTCTTCATTTTCTGCTTATGATTTAGTCTTTATGGTTTGATTTGATCTACAACAACATTTTGGCAAGTCTACCAAGTCCCCTCCATATCCTGCTAAGCTATGGTATGCTGAACTGGTGTGAATGCTGACATCCTCTGGGTACCCAGAGAGAGACATCTGTGTGCTTAATCTAGAATCTTACCAGCAAAGACAATGATAACATAGAGAGATTCTCAGCCATTACTTAGGGGAGAGAGGTAACTGGTGCATATTCTGCTTTTCTACTTCGATATACACGTGGAAGGAGATGAATGCAGCTGAATGCATCACAATATAACTCTCCTTTGTTCTTTAGGTGTTTTTCCTTTTAAGCAAAGTAAAAATGTGTATATTTCAATACACACTTATAGTTCACTTCTGAGATTTAAAAAAGTAGACAGAGAATTTTATTATGGTAAACTTAGCTGACTCACTATTGACTATTACTGATACATACACGATAAAATTTCATTTTGGTGTTATTTTCTAAGACTCTGCATGCAGGAAAAGACAGGAAGCCTACATAAAGACGAGGATTAATGGAGGAAGAAAGGTACACTTTTAATTTATTAGGATAACTAGTAGGAGAAGACAGCAAGCTCATCGTTCTGTAAAAATATTAAGAGCTGCTTTCTTAACAAAGACTTGTGTCCCTCTGACTAACAGGAGGAACCGTGTCATCTGCCTTCACTGAGGCAACAGTCTCATATAACTACCCGAGAGACTGAGAAGAGGGAATGAGTTCACATGTAAAACATGGAGATTTGAAAGTTTTCCAACTGAAACCATTTTGCAATTCTCCTCGAATCAAACACTGGTCTTGGCCAACTATGAAACTCCATGTCACACCAGGAACTAGGAGGCATGACTTCAATAGCTGGAAAGGACCAGAAGAACACTACAGACCAAGGAGGCTCTACGAAACTGCTGCCGTTCCATGCCTCCTGGCGCGTGTGAGCAGCCCACGGCACACGCATTAGGTAGCCAGAAAGGTCTGACGCAGAGGTAAGCAGACAGACATTACCTGCAGGGCCTGAGAAATGCTTGGTTTCCCAGTCTTACACACGAGTGGAATTCTATCTATTGGCTTCTGTTATGCAGCTGAGGACGTGGCTCTCTTAGAGGGCCAGCTCCTCAACAAGCTTACAGCGCAGTCTTTGGCTAAATCAACAGTCACTGTTTATCATCACGACTAGGTAAATGTCTGTTGTTATGACTACGTGGAGATACTTGCTGAGTGAAGAATTTTATGATGATTGATTCTTTGCTCATACAATAAACTGTTTATCCTGGAGTTAACAGTCGCCTTTTTTTTTTTATTTGTTAATATTGCTAATTCCCCTCCCCTCCCCCCACCTATGGGGCAGTTCTACTCTGTCCTACAGGGTCGCTATGAGTCGGAACCAAGTCAATGGCAATAGGTTTGGTTTTTTTTTTTTTGGTTTACCCCCACCTCCAAATGCTCCAGTAAAAACAAAAAAAAACCCAACCAAACCCACTGTCATCTAGTTGATTCTGACTCATAGCGACCCTATAAAACAGAGTAGAACTGCCCCATAGGGTTTCCAAGGCTGTAATCTTTACAGAAGCAGACTGCCACATCTTGCTCCTGCGGAGCAGCTGGTGAGTTTGAACTGCTGACCTTTCAGTTAGCGGCTGAGCACTTTAACCACTGCACTACCAGTGCTCCGAATGCTCAAACAGAATCAGCAAATCCCTATCAATATTTTTTTTCAGAAGGTCAAATACATCATAAATCTGTTACCCACTGAGTCGATTCCAACTCATAGTGACCCTACAGGACAGAGTAGAACTGCCCCATAGGGTTTCCAAGGAGCGGCTGATGGATTCGAACTGCTGACCTTTTGGTTAGCAGTCCATCTCTTAACCACTGTGCCACCAGGGCTCCAAAGATATCATCTATTAATTAGATTTCCTCATTTCTCTTTCTGGAAGCCTTCCTCCTGCAGCTGGGTGTCCATTTTCAACATGGACTGGTTGCTCCGGAGGACTAGTACGCAGCTCTTGTCACAGGCTTTCTTTCTGCTGCTCTTCTGTGTGAGATTCTTTGCTTCCTGGACCCCATGCCCTTGCCTTTCTTGATTACGTCCTTATTTGTTTAAAGCATATCTTCCCGGTGCTTTCTGAGAGAGTGTATGGGAGGTAAAATTTTAAAGTTTTTGCAAATCTGAAATATCTTTATTCTTTATTCTACCTTCGCCTTTGATGAATGTTTCGGATAGGTACAGACTTCTAGATTACAAATGATTTTTCGTCAGAATTTTTAAGGCACTGCTCCACCATCTCCTGGCATCCAGCATCACTATCCAGAACTGATGGTATTTTGATTCTTCCTCATTTGGATATGAGCTATTTAAACCGTTTCTCTGGAAGCTCCAAGATATTCTCTTTAACCCTGTTAGCTCTGAAATTTCATGTATGTCAGCTTGGGGTCATTTTTTAATCATCATACTTAGCCCAAGATTAGAGCCTACCAATCCTGAGACATGTATTCTTCAGTTCTCGGGAGATTTCTGTATTGTTTTTGTGGTATCTCCTTGCCTCCCTTTTGTTCTCATTCTAGAAACCGTACTGGTCAGATGTTGGACTTCCTGGATTGAGCTTCTCTAATTTTATCACTAGCCCTTCTCTCCTTTTTCCCTCTCTATCTTCTTGTTCTGCTTTCTAGATTTTCTCAGCTTCATCAGCTGACTTCTGGGTTAACTTTTTTCCACTATCGTATTTAATCATTACCTAAACGTTTCTTTTTCATGGCCTTCTTCCCTTTAATACATGCATTTTCTCTTAGTACAAGGTATTAGCCCTAGCTAAAAAAAAAAAAAGTTTCCTTCTACTTCTTGTGTATTTCTCTTTTTCTCTGAGTGTCTTTTTTTGTCTGTTTTGATCTCCATCTCTCTCTTTCATGTTGGAGCCTTTTCTTAAATCTTTGGTTGTTTCCTATTTAAAAGTTAAGACACCAACTGGTGGGTCTTATTCTACAGTCATCCAAATGTGAGACGTTGTTATTCAGACATTCCTAATCTGGAGGTTTCTTCCCCCTGGAGGATCCGGCTTCACTAGAGAAGAAGCCTCCATTTCCTTGTGGATGGGGCTAATAGACACTGCTGCCAGCATTAGGAGAGCAAGGTGGGAGAGGGCTGATGGGTCCACGCCTCACCCATTCCCTGCTCTTTTAGGGGCTCCAGATTTGCAGCCTTTCTGATTTCAGTTTCTCCAGAAAACAACTGTCCAGTCTTCTGTGGTGGAAGGGAAGATGGAGAGGAGGCTTAGGGCATCACTTTTTCTGTAACAGACCTTCAGTGAGTCTTCTTGTTTTCAGCCCTGTGCCTGACCTTTGCCTTCTGCGATATCCAGGACCTGTACGCACAACGCCTTTCAGGGCTCTGTGGAGTGAAATGTTTTGCTTCGTGCTGGTATTCCTCTCTGCAGCATTTAGTTTCTTCTGTCTAAATAAGTCAGTTCCTACTACTCCACCTATTTTCCATCTCACACACATTTTTCGCTCTCTTCTGCTATTGGCTTCTCTCCCATCTGTCCTTGTGGGTTAATACCATTTTAACTCATTTCAGTGGGGACCTCAAAAGGAGTGGGGTATAATAAGTACACCTGCTAAATCTACCACGCTTAACCATCTCATACCAGCCAAATCTGGGATTTGGAAATTTGGGAAAAGGAAAAGCCTCGGGTGCTTCTGTGACCAGCCAGATTTGGAATCCACTGTCCTAGTTCATCCACTTTCAAACTCACTGGAGACCAGGAAATTAAAAATCTGACAGTTGTCTGGTCCCTAATTATCAGCAGAATAGAACTGACTGAGCTGACCTGTGGAAAGGGTGGGGAGTATTTGACCACTAACTGAGTCGTGGGTTCAGGTGAGAGTGCAAGCTTGAAGCTTGAAATCTGCTGTGGAATAGAAATGGAAGGAAATCGTAAAGCTGTAGTCATGGTAATGGGGAGACTTAAATTGGCAATGGCAGGGACCAGATGGAATTGGTGTGTGGGGTGAAGTGTTCTGGCAAAATCTGACGCTTGGGAGGGAAGCCACTCTTCCTGCCCTTCGCCAAGATGCACTGTAAGACCTGACTCTAGTCTGCCCTCCTGGCATAACCACTGGTCCAGGATGACACGTCGTGGACAGCCAGGTGTATCTGAAAGCACCATCCCGAACCAGGAGAAGAGCCCAGAAGTCCAGAGGACGCCTGGAATAGGCCATGTAAACAACATGTATGGCTCTACTGCAAGCTGAGCCAGGGGGCTGCCAGGCAGGGTCCCTGTGGGGATGATGAAGTCCCAAAAGTGAACAGGTTGAATATCGTCAAACTAACTCCAAAAAAGGCTGGAGATAAAGTCCAGGGAAGGGCAGTGGATATACCAAACTTTGAGGGCACTGCCTCAGATAAGGCACAAGTATTGTGGGCTGCATGACAGGTTCCAGACCCTGTTAGACAGACAAGCATCAGATCTGAGGCTTTTACATAAAGCTTAGGATAAAAGGTCTCGGCTTTGAAGCCCAGAGGCTGTGAATGGTGGGAAGAGAGGCTTTTCTGAACATAAAAGTAGTCCCCGGTGAAATTACAACTCAGCATGTTTGAGCGTTGCTCAAACGCTAATCAGCCAACAGTTCCTAAGACAGAACTTTCCAGAATCGTATGAAAAAGTCAGTACCCATAATGGTGACCAGAAAGTCAGCAGGGAGCTGGGTGAACTTGATGTTGGACCCCTTCTCAGACTCAGCTTTTCTAAGTGCCTGCACGGGACACCACAAAGCCAATGTTATAAAGGAATGCGTAAGGGGCACCCAGGCTTGGTGGAGTTCATAACTTCTGTAAACAGAGGTACTTCTCATTTCAATGGCCTGGATCTGAGCGTGGACACCTCTAACAACTGAACACCATGGCTCCAACGCGCTGTAGGAGGGAAAGGTGCCACACGGGAGGAACTCCTGGCTACCCTCATCCAGACAGCATGACTTCCGCAGGCCAGATGGAGGTGATGGCCGAACAATAAATGCATGTGTGAGGTCAGGGTGGGAAACATCCTGGGCTGCAGAGGAGAGTGAACACGCCTGTGCCACTGAACACAGACGCCTTGCTGCCTCCAGAGTAACAAAGGGTGTCGGATGTCGTTCAGGACAGGACGTCGGGTAAAGTGACAGAAGATACTGACACACTCCAGCCGCAGGTGAGTGGGCAACAACCAGCCTGTCTTCATGAATACCTCAAGGGAGCCCATAACTCCTTAAAGGCCAGGTTGCATGAACCGTTTATCCTGTATTTCAAGGACCTTCAGACAAGGAGAGTGAAGATCCGTTTGTAGTGGTAGGTTGGTCATATACAACAATAATCTATTCATCATTCTTATTCATAAAAAGACTGGAGAGACGTGAACAGGTGAATCAACTACTATTATACATTTTTCTGCAACTTTGTTCAAGTTTTCTAATTCTGGTTTCCGATGAAGAGTATTCAAGGCTGAAGGTCCACAGCTGTAGTTTTCAAGAAACCCCCACTCTTATCTTTTTTTCTTTTTTGAATCTTCTTAAAATAAAATCTTACATAAATATCCAATAAATAAGAAAGATAAAGGAGACTTGCTGTCAATGAGGAGAGGCTAGGGGCAGGGTCCGGAAGCCAGGACCCCATCTACGCATTCCTTTGCAAGACAGGCTGAGGACAAAGCACTCATCATCCTGGATAAGAAGATACATAGACATTGACAAAAACATAAGTCCAATGGTAGGATCTCTCAGGGGCAGGAAGCTTGCATTATTTAAGAACCCAGGGACTAGCACGTAGCTGACTGAACAGAGCAGGTGTGCAACAAATGCTTGTGGAACAAATGAAGTTGCAAAGCTTTTCCCAGGTTCTAGCAAACGTTTTCAAAAGTGGAATGGTAGCGGAATTGTCTGAGTTGGGTGCGTGTGCCTGTGGAAACCACATTTCTGCCTTTAGGGACACACAGGTGTGCCAGTATGTATTGACCCAAGGCGTTCATGATGTGGGCACGAAGGACATTCACATCTGGCAAAGCCAGGATGGGTCATGACTTGGCATCCTGTTAACCAGAGGGCCTGGTAGATGCCCAAGGATAAAACAGGCAAGAAAGTGAGTATAGAGAAGTGGGAGGAAGGACAGAAAAGACAGAAAGGAGCAGGGAAGACAGCAGGTCTAGGCCGGCAAATCCAAGGTGTGGGAGACCAGAGTCAACGAGCAAAGGAGCACAAGGCGCTGGTGCCGAGCAGCAGGCAGAGGCTGTGTGTTCTCTGCCTGGTTTCACAGAAGTACCCTCCGCTGGTTGGAGGGACGCTGTGGGTCGACAGATACTGACCCGTACAGTGAGACAGAGGTGAAGGCTACAGGCAAAACTTCACCCTGATGGTGCAGGACAGATGAACTGCAAGAACCTGGAAACAACCTGTCCAAGCAGGACAGAGACTGGAACCAAAGCCCTGCCTGCCCGGAGCGGCACAGTTCCGTGTCTCTGCTGAACCTACGTACCTCTGACTTGCTGTTCTAGACTGAGGATGACTGCCACAGCCTGATGAAGAATAAGGAGCTTCGTTTGGGGCTTTTCACTCTTCAAGTGAAGCTGACACATCCGGCCAAGCTCTTTGAATGCCTCGTTAATATCCCGCACACGCAAGCGTTCTCTGGCATTGTTAGCCATGCGCCTTTCCTTCTCTCTCTCTATTTTCTGTTCTGGGTTCAAATCCTCATCTTCATTAGTACTGCTGGAAAAACAAAGTAGCGACAATGTCTATCAGATTCCCTATAAAACGAGATCTGCGTATCGTGCATTATGAACTATGAAAATGAAAATTACCTACAAATTTTACCGAACAGTAGTAGTAGCTATACTTAACATGATTGTGTATTTCTTTCCTTTATTCAATGTGTCTATATATATATACACAAATACACACACAGTTGAAATCATATCACAATCATTTTGAATGAGTTTTTCATTGCACATTACAGCACAAAGACTTCTCGCTACTGAAACTCTTCGTAAACATAAATGACTACGTAATACTCTAGCGTCTTGCTAATTCAAAATGGGATCCAGAGATGAGCAGCATCCGCATCACCGGGAGCTTGTTAAAAACGTGGAATCTGAGGTTCTACCCCAAACCTACTGAATCAGAACCTGCATTTTAACAAGATCCCCAGCTGATCCCTCCGCACATGGCAGTTCGAGAAGCACCGCTGTAGTACATGAATGTGTCACAATTTCCTTAACGTGTGCTCTTAAACACACTGTGGCTGTGACCTGGTGAGAAAGGCATTAAGAGACAGATGGACAGAAGTTGCTCGGAGAATGACTACCATCCTCTGTGGCGGCGATCATAAAACGGGGAAGATCTGGAACAACTGTTTTGAAGGACAAACTGGCGCAATGAATCCAAAGCCTTAAAAATGTCCATTACCTCTTGAACAGCAATTCCAACTTTAGAAGTTCACCCTAAGGCTACAATTAGAGATGTACACAGAAATGGATGAGAAGGAAGATGCCACAGGATTATTTACAGCAAGAGGAGACAGCCTGAAGAAATGATGGCCCATCCAGACAATGACTACTCTGCACAGCCTCTAAAAAGCCAAGATACGGACGACGTTAAGTGAGAGAAGCCAGACGCCAAAGACTGCGTCCTGTATGACTCCATTTAGGAGTTTTTAGGGAAGACAAAACTCTGGTAACAGAAAGATCACTGGTTGCCAGAGGGTAGGGGAGGAGACTGACTACAGTACAACAGGAGGAAACTTTCTGGGGTGGGGAAAATATTCGATATTATGGGTGTGGTGGTGGCTACATGATCACAGACAAGTCTCCAAGGACAAGAATTCACACTGAAAATTGATGAGTTTTATTATACGTCAATTAAACATCAATGACGCTGGCCAAAAACCCCACAAACACACGTTGCAGGAAATACTTCGGGACGGGTGAACATGTTAAAAAATACATTTTTAAATGAAAAAAAAAAAAAAGAAAAAAAAGTTATGTCCAGTTTAATATGTAGTGATGGAAAAAGAAGGTATTCCTCAAAATGTAAACATTGGTCCACCGGACTGAGTCCAGTACAGCTAGATGGTGCCCGGCTACCACCACTGACTGCTCTGACCGGGATCACAACAGAGGGTTCTGGACAGAGCTGGAGAAGGATGTAGAATAAAATTCTAACTCACACAAAAAAAACCAGATTTACTGGCCTAAAGGAGACTGGAGAAACCCTGAGTGTGTGGCCCCCAGACACCCTTTTAGCTCAGTGGTGAAGTCATTTCCGAGGTTCACCATTCAGCCGGGGAGTGGACAGCCCCATAAAACCAAATGGTACTAATGAGGCACAGCAGTCCAGGGACAAGGACTAGAAGGCAGAAGGGGACAGGAAAGCTGGTGATAGGTAACCCAAGGTTGAGTAAGGATAGTGTTGATGTGTTGTGAGATTGTTAACCACTGTCATAGGGCAGCATGTGTACTGTTTAATGAGAAACTATTTTGTTCTGTAAACCTTCATCCAAAGCGAGAACAGCACAACTGGAAGAGCGTAGTCGATGTCACTGAACTGTGCATGTAGAAATTTTTGAAATGGTGTACCTTTGGCTATGTATATTTTCACCAAAAAAAAAAAAAAGGCGGAAAGGGGGGGGGGTGGCATGTCGTGGGGTTGTTAACCAATGTCATAAAACAATATGTGTACTACTGTTTCATGAGAAACTATTTGTTCTGTAAACCTTCACCTGAAGTACAATTAAAAAAAAAAAAAAAGTAAACTGGTTAATTCTGGGTGGTGGAATTTCTTGTGATTTTGTGTGTGTGTGCTTTTCTGTATTTTCCAAATTTCTATAATGAAAGTGGACTATTATGTAATTGGGAAAAAAAAAAAACAAAAAACCCACAAACCTTTGAGGGAGATGCTTTGGAATAACTTTTAGAAAGTTATATTTCTACTTCAGAAATAAACTACTTTACCTAGCAGAGGCTCTCAGAACCCTGAAGTAATGTGCAGAAAGAATGGAGGTTTTCACCACTTCTTTAATACCTTGAATAGTCTAATAAAGAATAAGTACACAACAGATTCTGAATAGAATCACATGCATGTATTCTTTTGATAATAGAGGACCACCAGCTCATTGATTTCAAAAGGACCTTAGAGATCATCCAGCCCAAAGATTTCCAAATGTGGTCAATCATCAAGGCCACTTAAAAAAAAAAATATAGCTTTCCAGGTTCCACTACCAGAGACGCTGATGGAATAAATTTGGGTCAGGGTCCAGGTATCTGTATTTCAAAGATATGTCCAGGGGTCTGGGCAGCGGAGTCGAGAACCACTACAAGACCCAGAAACATGAGAGACCTCACAAGGATTCTGACTCACAGCGACCCTAGAGGACAGAGTAGAACTGCCCCACATGGTTTCCAACAAGCAGCTGGTGGATTCAAACTGCTGACCTTTTGGTTAGCAGTAAAGCTCTTAACCACTGTGCCACCAGGGCTCCCAAACCTACACCACAAATCTAAAATTACCACCCTCATAACAGCCAATATGGTGCCTTATTGAGTGCTTACTGTATGCGAAACAGTGCGCAAAGGACTGTACATGAGTCACCTTCAGTTCTTCTCACAGCAACTGTATGATTACCAGCTGCCGTCCGGTCGACTCGGACTCATGGAGACTCCATGTGTGTCAGAGGAGAAGTGTGCTCCACAGGGTTTTCAATGGCTGATTTTTTGGAAGTAGACTATCAGGCCTTTCTTCCAAGAACTGTATGATAGGAAGTGATGTAAGTCCCTTTTTACAAAGGAAGGAATTGAGGCTCAGAGAGCTCTGACAACCTGCCCAGGGTCACTTAACTAGTATGTGATGCTTGCTGTTAGTTGCTGTCAAATTGGTTCCAACTCATGGTGAGCCCATGTGTGCAGAATGGAACTGCTCTATAGGGTTTTCAAGCCTGTGACCTTTCAGAAGCAGACTGCCAGGCCTGTCTTCTGAAGTGCCTCTAGGTGGGCTTGAACCACCAGCTTTTGGCTAGTAGTTGAGAGCTTAACCATCTGTGCCATTCAGGAATAAAACCCAAGTTAGCCTCACTTTGTCCAAAGACCATATATATGTATATACATATATACATATATATATTTTAAATATTTTGTTTTCGGTGAAAGTTTACACAGCAAATGAGGTTCTCATTTAACAAATTCTACACAAATTATTTAAAATTAGGCTCCCATTTAAAAGTTTCTACAAAAATTGCTCAATTATATTGGTTACATTTTTCACACTGTGTCAACATTCTCGTTATTTCTGTTCTGGTTGTTCCATTTCCAGTAATCTAGTTTCCCTGCCCCATTACCTTCTCATCTTTGCTTTAGAGTAACTGTTGACCATTTAGTCTCATACAGAGGATTTTTTAAAGGAGAGCGGTACTCATGGGTGATATTCTTTATTTTAGAAGCCAATCTGTTATTTAGCTAAAAGGTGACCTCAGGGAGTAGTTTCTGTTCAAAGTTTAAAGAGTATCTCAGGGAGATAGCCTTGGCGAGTCCTTTAAGTCTCATGCAGTCCAGTTAAGTGTGGACTGTTCAAGAATTTGAGTTCTGCTCCACATTCTCCTTCCATTCTATCAGGATCCATCTATTGTGACCCTGATCAGAAGGGCTGATAGTGTACGGCAGGCACCATCTAGTTCTTCTGGTCTCAGGGTAGATGAGGCCAAGGTCTGTGCAGACTCAGTCCTGAAGACGATTTTCTTTTCTGAGTCTTTGGTTTCCATCTTTTTCTTTTGCTCCAGATGAACACAGACCAATAGTTACATCTTAGATGGCTGCTCACAAATTTTTAAGATCCCAGATACTACTCACCAAGCTAGATCTACAACATAAACTTTATGAACTATATTACGTCAACTGACCGAGTTGTCCCATGAGACTATGGTCCTAAGCCAAAGGCCATGTTCTTTACCTATATTACACTGCCTCTCAATTTCTGATAACCTATATAAACCATGGCCTGTGGGTTGGCCACTGTTTTTATAAATGAAATTTTATTGGAACACAGTCATGCCCATTCGTTTAATATATTATCTTTGGTAGCTTTTGTGATAATGGCAGAGAGAGTTCAATAGTTGTGACAGACGATATGGACCACAAAACCTAAAATATTTACTATCTGCCCCTTTCCGAAAAAGCCCTGGTGGTGCAGTGGTTAAAGCACTTGTTTGCCAACCGAAAGGTCAGCGGTTCCAACCCACCAGCCGCTGTGCGTGAGAAAGATGTGGCAGTCTGCTTCTGTAAGGATTAGAGTCTTGGAAACGCTATGGGGCAGTTCTACTTTGTCCTATAGGGTTGCTATGAGTCAGAATCAGCTCGATGGCAGTGGGTTTGCTGTTTTTGGTTTTTGGCTCCTTCACAGCAGAAGTCTGCTGACCCCTGACCTACAAGATAAGAAGATGAATGAGGAGGAAAGATGAAGTAAGTTTTGGCACTTAGAACACTGCAAATTCTTTTCCTTAAAATTGTACTTGAATAATAAAACTAAGAAATAAATAAGATGCCTCAAACGAATGGTCTCTGGATTCTCTGTCCTACTTTTTACTTCCTCATGCCCCTACACAGTGAAGTACAATGCGTATTAAAATGACAGCAGTAGGATCTTAAGATTTCTTTTTTCCCAACAGAAATGTCCAGGTGAGAGAATGTCAAAAGGCAAAAGACACCTTTTAAGTATATAAATGACAGCAAAGACCATGCTGGTTCTTTTAGTTATATCTACAAAATAACTGTAATGTTTTTGTACCATAATTTAGCACAAAGAACAATGTTTTATAAATTAATATATACATGTGATATATATTACTGATAAATGGATATATCAAGAGATAATAGGATGTACCACAAATATACCAAATCATCTAATTTTAACACAAAGTCCAAAGGAAGAATCTGGAAGTCATCTGAAAGTAATGTACTACTTGTCTATATCCATACGTCAAAGCAAGGTCAAGCCCAACTTCTGGGAAATCTTCCCTGACATTAGCCCATCCGGATGTCTTCCTTTTCCATGTTGTTGTTGTTGTTAGATGCTGTTGAGCTGGTTCCGACTCACAGCGACCCTATGTATGACAGAACAAAACACTGCCCGGTCCTTTGCCATCCTCACAATCTTCGTCATGCTCGAGCCCACTGTTGCGGCCACTGTGTCAATCCATCTCGTTGAAGGTCTTCCTCTTTTTCGCTGACCCTCTACTTTACACCAAGCATGATGTCCTTCTCCAGGGACTGATCCCTCCTGATAACATGTCCAAAGTATGTGAGATGAAGTCTCGTCATCCTTGCTTCTAAGGAGCATTCTGGCTATACTTCTTCCAAGACAGATTTTTTCGTTCTTCTGGCAGTCCATAGTATATTCAATATTCTTCACCAGCACCATAATTCAAAGGTATCAATTCTTCTTCGGTTTCCTTATTCATTATGTAGCCTTTGTATACCATGGCTTGAGTCAGGCACATCTTAATCCTTAAGGTGATATCTTTGCTTTTTAACACTTTGAAGAGGTCTTTTGCAACAGATTTGTCTAATGCAATATGTCACTTGATTTCTTGACTGCTGCTTCCATGGGCACTGACTGTGAATCCAAGTAAAATAAAATCCTTAAGAACTTCAATCTTTTCTCTGTTTATCATGATGTTGCTTATTGGTCCAGTTGGGAGGATTTCTGTGTTATGTTGAGGTGTAATCCACACTGAAGGCTGTAGTCTTTATGAGTAAGTGCTTCAAGTCTTCTTCACTTTCAGCAAGTAAGGTTGTGTCATCTGCATATTCCAAGTTGTTAATGAGTCTTCCTCTAATCCTGATGATACGCTGTTCTTTATATAGTCCAGCTTCTCAAATTACTTGCTCAGCATACAAACTGAATAAGTATGGTGAAAGTATACAACCCCGATACACACTTTTTGTGATGTTAAACCATGCACAGTGGTTAGGCGTTTGGTTGCTAACAAAAAGGTCAGCAGTTCAAATCCACCAGCTGCTCACTGGAAATCCTATGGGGCAGTTCTACTCTGCCCTACAGGGTCGCTATGAGTCAGAATCGAGTCGACATCAACGGGTTTGGTTTTGGTTAGCGTCTCCTTATTCTGTTCGAATGACTGCCTCTTGGTCTATGTACAGGTTCTGTATGACCACAAGTAAGTGTTCTGGAATTCCCATTCTTTGCAATGTTATCCATTATTTCTTATGATTCACACAGTCGAATGCCTTTGCCTAGTCAATGAAACACAAGTAAACACCTTTCTGGTATTCTCTGCTTGCAGCCAAGATCCATCTAACACCAGCAATGATATCCCTGGTTCCACATCCTCTTCTAAATCCTGCTTGAATTTCTGGCAGTTCCCTGTCAATGTACTGCTGCAACCACTTTTGAATTACCTCCAGCCAAATTTTACTTGCATGATTTTAATGAAATTGTTCCATGATTTCCACACTCTGTTGGATCACCTTTCTTTGGAATGGGCACATATATGGATCTCTTCCAGTTGGGTGGCCAAGTAGCTGTCTTCCAAATTTCTTGGCACAGACGAGTGAGCACTTTCAGCGCTGCATCTGTTCACTGAAACATCTCAATTGATATTCCGCAATTCCTGGAGCCTTGTTTTTCGCCATTCCCATCAGTGCAGCTTGGACTTCTTCCTTCAGTGCCATCAGTTCTTGATCATATGCTACCTTCTGAAATGGTTGAACTTTGACCAATTCTTTTTGGTACAGTGCCTCTGTGTATTCCTTCCATCTTCTTTTGATGCTTCTTGCATCATTTAGTATTTTGCCCATAAAATCCTTCAAAATTGCAACCCGAGACTTGAATTTTTTCTTCACTTCTCTCAGCTTAAGAAATGCTGAGCGTGTTCTTCTCTTTTGGTTTTCTAACTTCAGGTCTTTGCATGTTTATTTAATACTTCACTTTGTCTTCTCGAGCTGCCCTTTGAAATCTCCTGTTCAGCTTTTTTACTTCATCATTTCTTCCATTTGCTTTAGCTGTTCTACATTCAAGAGCAAGCTTCAGTATCTCTTCTGACATCCATTTTGGTCATGTGTTCAATGTGTCTGTTAAAGCTATTCTTGAGATGGTCTATAAATTAATTCAGGTGGAATGTACTGAAGGTCGTACTTTGGCTCTAGTGGGCTTATTTTAATTTTCTTCAGCTTCAATTTGAATCTGTATCTGAGCAGTTGATTGTCTGTTCCGCAGTCGGCCCCGGTCTTGTTCTGCCTGATGATACTGAGGTTCTCCATCATCTCTTTCACAAATGTAGTCGATTTGATTCCTGTGTATTCCATCCATCTTTTCAAATTATTGTTTAAACCAAGAATTGGCAAATGCAAATCTGCTGTCGCAGCGAGAAAGCTGCCACAGAAAACACATAATTGAATGGGGGGTAGCTGTATTCCAATAAAGCTTTATTTAAAGAAACAGACAATGGGCTGTAGTTTGCCGACACCTGGTTTGAATCATATAATAGTTCTACCACATACTTAGGCTTAAATTAGCATGTCCAAATATTTATTGATTCAATAAATCTAAATGTCTGCACCACACACTTTAACTTGTTTTAGCGATTTTGTCCTCTAATTGTTTTACCTTCAGAGACTGTAAGAAATCAGGGCAGAGACATAATTCTTTTTTATGTGTAGGCCCTAAAATGGTATGATATAATGCAAGACATAATTTTGAAATCAGATAAATCTGGGTTTGTATCTCATTCAATACCTGGGCAAATTATTAAATTCTTTATATGCCAGAGTTTTTTCATATGCCTGCCTTTTAAGGATGCTGTGAGGATTAAATAATAGACATAAAATCCCAACAGAGTGTGTAGTACATGGTTGGCATTTAACAATTGCGTGACAATTCTCCAAGTATTTACACCCATGGCGAATGAGTGAGATTTAACACCAGGATGGTGACAAATACCTTGTTCTTCCTCTAGATGAAACTTTGATATCTTTTTGGGAGGATTCATCATCCGACTTCATGTCATCTGACGAGGGGAGCTCATGAAGGTTTTCATCCTTCTCTTTGTTTTCAGTCTTGATTTCTGCGGGAACAACAGTTCCAGACTGACTTTGCAAGCCACCTAACAAAAGAGTCCAATGAAACACAAACTAAGTGGCCAGATTCATTTAGGAATTACAGAAAGACTGTCAAACTTCTAGTTGGTGCATATCCTTAGCCGTTACACCAGATTCATTCAGGAATTACAGCAAGACTGTCAAACTTCTAGATGGTGCATATCCTTAGCTGTTACAGGGCCATCACAGAAATCTGAAGATGCTGGAAAGCATACTATTCAGAGCCGGCAAGAATACCCACAAAATTTCAAGAAAGTCATTTCGTAGCTTCTGTATTTAGAAGAACAAGCCTGACCATGACGGCCTGTCTAATGCTCAGTTCCAGGCACTACCTAACAGTTGAACAAAGTATGAGAAACTCAATACAATGTTTAGAAACTAACTTCTCAGACGCTGCCCGGGTAAAGGAAACAAGCCTAACCTTTTCCTGGATAAACACAATAAAATGGGAATCATGGTTAAAGGGAACTGGGAGAACTTTACTGTGGTCTTAGTGTTAGCTATGTATTTGTATATATTTATGTAAGCTCTAGGATAAGATTTATCAGTTTGCTTTTTATCAGAATTATCTGTCTCTCTAATCAGATTATAAGGTCCCAAAGAATGGCTACCATCCTTCAGAGCACTCAACATACTCAGAAATATCTTTCTCATTGCTGTCAAGACCATGAAGGCTCACTCGTGAGGGAAACTGATGAAGGAAGAAAGGCACCACACACACGCAGGAACAGGTAAGATGATGAATAAATAACAACAGCTAGCATGCAGTTTCATTCACTGATAAGCAGTCAAAGGGGCCAGCTGGAACCTTAACTACCTACTGCCTATTTCATGTGGTATCACTGCTTTTGAATTCCCGCAGCTGAGATAACTTGTGATTCACAGTTGTTGATTTGGTTGTGAGAAAGGTGGTGGTGTTTAAGTGCTCTCTCTGCCTGCATCACCCCTGAAAACCAAGCAATATCATTACCCCTATAATTTTCCTGTGATTTATGGTTCAGGTCCGTGCTTGAAGCAGTGACGGTACTGGACAGGACTGAATGATTGCCGTTGAGACTGACAGAGTCTTCCCGATGAGTTCCAACCTAGAATTAAAAAAAGAAAATGTTAGGTAGTTCAATTCTGTTCTTGGGTTTAACAGAGAGAACAGTATCACTCACCTGAATCTAGCAACCTTTTTTGGATGATACTTTTTTATTTTTTGGTGAGGAATTTCAAAAGACTTGATAGTAACAGTGCTTTTTAATCACACCAAAATGTTATTTTTTTTAAATATGAAAATTTAAAACTATATCTATTCCAAAGAGTTGTTGTAAAAGTACTCAGTATGAATTCCTCTCCAGTTAACAGAGATAAAATGCTCTATAAGCCATCAAGCAATCCTCATTATAGGGTGGTGTATAAATGATCTTACATAACCAATCTGAAAACCTATTCCACATAACAAAAAAAAACTAAACCCGTTGCCGCCCAGTTAATTCCAACTCATAGCAATCCTAGATGACAGAGTAGAACTGCCCCATAGGATTTCCAAGGCTGTAATCTTTACAGGAGCAGACTGCTGTATCTTTCTCCAGTGGAGTTACTGCTGGGTTTCAACCACCAACCTTTCACACTGTCACACCAGGACTCCTTTATTCCAAATCCAAAAAAAAAACCCAAACCAAACCCCATGCTGTCGAGTTGATTCCGACTCATATCGACCCTACAGGACAGAGTAGAACTGTCCCATAGGGTTTCCAAGGAGCAGCTGGTGGATTTGAACTGCTGACCTTCTGGTTAGCTGCCGACTTAACCACTGTGCTACCAGGGCTCCTTATTCCATATAAACCAAAACCAAACCCACCACCATCGAGTCAATTCTGAATCACAGTGACCCAATAGGACAGAGAAGAACCGCCCCATAGGGTTTCCAAGGAGCGGCTGGTGGATTCAAACTGCTGACCTTTTAGTTAGCAGCCTGAGCTCTTAGCCACTTAAATTTAACAAAATACTGCTATATTCCAGGTAACAACAGTACTTATCTACACTGTGGCATCCCCTCCCCTCCTCACCTATACAAACTACACCGTGTCTTGTCTATTCTTCTTCTGCCTCCTCTCAAAAATTGTAAAACAGTGGCAAAAGCAAAAAAAATTAAAATAACTGAAGACAAGTTCTGCATTGCCAGGCAACAAATATGCCATAGAGTTTATTCTGAGCTTTAATCAAACTCACACACCAAACAGTTAACTTGAGAAGGTCAAACACACAACCACTACCAAGTCTTCAGCTATTGCAGCGTTTTCAGAAAAACTGCTCAGACGAAGCTTTTTATTACAACGGCAGCGGTCGAGTCTACTAGAAGATGAAGGCTTTAATTAAATAGGTTTATTGCCTGCAGTTATACATGAGAACCACCATTTTTCAATAAACCCTTCAATCCTAGTAAACTGCCAAGCCCTGAATCCCTCTTAATTAATGTAGCTTTTAACTTTCATGTCTCAGTACGGATTTTACCTTAAAAGATATAAATACCCCAGTGCAAGTTTATCCTTTGGTTTCTTGTCAGCTAAACCAAAGTATAAAAGCAACCAAAGCAAAGTTTTAGGAAATGCAGGTTATTTGGTAGTGGATGTAATTAGAATATCCTGGGCCTTCCGCCACACTTGGAGAGGACTATCTGTCCTCCACCTGTATTCTTTATCTTTAATGTATTTAGAAGCCCACTTAATGTGCTCCACAGATAATTTTAAAATCACTGTGGAGAATACATGTGTCACCGTTCCCTTGGATAACCAAGCATCGACTCTACCCTTTTTCTACTCTGCACACGTGCTACTCCATTAGAATTAGAAAATCTTAAAAGCTGAGAAGGGATCGCAGGAAGTATGGCTCACTTCCACCGTCCTTGCCACCCCCGAAACTTTCCATAAGCCTTTAGATTCCACCCCACCAAAAAAAAAAAAAAAAGACCCTGAGAAAAACCTAAAAAATTAAATCCAACAAAGGCAAGCACTAGTGCAGGAGTGGACTGGGAAAACTGTCTTCAAGGGAGAAATGACTTCTTCAGTGTTTCATGAAACCCTGCCTCAAGGGCGTCCTGGTCACATTTATTCTCAGCACAGGAGAGGTGCCTCCCTTCTAGCTATAAACTACTCAATTTTCTGAGACGAAGGTCAGTTCAAAAACCCATTAAAAAATAGATGGGGTATAAACAATATATAGCTGCAAATTCTTCGGAATCTTAGAAGCCTAGGCTTATACTGAAGAAAGAATATCATTAGAACAATTCTGACTGGCCAGGGAAATTGCTGCAGTATAGAGTAAAAGCTGAGATTTCTCTATGTCTGTGTTTATAATAATCTGGGCGTAAAACTTAAAGGATTCCTATGATCTTTGGTAATATGTGCTAAATCTAGTGTTGCCTAGTATTTTAAACTATCCCATGAAGTAACTTAGTAGAACACAGCCTTCTAAAATTCAGACATGTATTTACTATGTATTACACAAGTGAAATTCATTTCACAGCTCTTAAGACACTACCATTGAGCTGAATTTTCACTCATTTAAGTGATGATGCATCTGCTGAATTCTGATTTTTTTATTTTGTTAGTATAAATTTTTGATTTCCTGAAGCTCAACTAGTAAAAATGTTCTATCACCTCCTTTTGATGAAAAGCTTGGCAGACACAGGATCATTAACTAAATGATGAATCTTAGAGATTTGCCTTTTCCCTTAAGGAAAATCAGAATGCTTGCTAAGTTTGTTTTGGGACATAATTGCTAGCAAATATTTCTGTTAACCTACATTATTGGATTCCAAAAAATTTTTTTAAATTGGCACACAGAGCAAAAATACACGCCTTTAAAAACGGCCTCAGACAAGCAGAAAGCTTGAAGTCTGGAGTTTTTCATCTTAATGAAGTTAGCAGAAACTTTTTCTTTGTAACTTGATTCCCCTAGCAAATGGCCCTCATATATTTTCCGGAGCGTTTGACTTTCACAGTTCTTATAGTTCTCTTTAACCCTTGCTCACCCTGGCTCCCACGTCCTCCCTTTAATCTCCAGCTCCACATTCAAACAACTCTGTCCACACACACAACAGGTGTATAAACAGTTCTTTGTCTGAGCCCAAGGCCTGTGGGGCCAGCCAGAGAGAACCCTGTTTTAATGGTTCATCTCGTTAGCATACAGCTGACAGGCTGCAGCTACTGGGGAGCAGCAGGGAAAGGCAAACCCCTCCGCTGGCTATGCTCTAAATTTCAATTATTATGAAGAGCTTCATTTCAGAATAAAAGGCCCATCCCATTCAATGACATCATCCTGAATCTTCACAATCTGCATACGGCCTTACTTTCGAGGGAGAACTCGACAAGAGACCTGTTTTCATTTAATTTGACCAACAGCTTTAGCACCACAATGGAAAAATGTTAAATCTAATTAGTTGATGAATAAGAGGTCTTGTGAATTAAGGGACAGACTGAAAAGGACTCAGTATGAATGTCTCTGATTTTGAATTCTATTCTAATAATTTGTTCCATTTGTACTATTCACTGAACTAATGATTTAAATTTATCAGTATTAATCTACAGACTGATTAAAGGATCTTTACGTGGTCCATTCCAAGGTATTTTGTTTTACCAGGAGTTTTATGGTAGAAACTTAGTAGTATTCCATTTGTTATAGTTCATTGTAAATGAGATTTCCGTAAAATATAGCCTCTATGGTTTCCAAACTTAAAAATTTTGTCATTTTGTACAATTTTGAACTATAAAAAGCAAAACAGTTATCTTTATATTCAGTTGAAACCTACATACTCAATTTCCGCAGCATACAGAGACAATCCATACTAACAAAATTAAATATTGTCTAAATGGAAGGTTGAAATGATTCCAAATTAATTTTGATTTAAGTGATAAAAGTGCTGAGGTAGTTTTAAATAAAAATATTACCCTATTTTGCCTGTTAGCCTTTAATAACTTAATCTTAAGTCTCTTAGAACTAAGAAAAACATAGTTTCTCTAATTGCTTTAGAATTCAGAAAACAGACACAATTTATACTTAAAAGATTCTATGAGGCAGTTTTAAATTCTGTGATTTAACTTTGTTTACACTGCTCTCATACAAAAACACTACATCTTCAACCACGGATTAAACAACAAAAACCCCAAGCAATACCAAAAAATAATTGAGAGACATGGCTGAATTAAATTTCCTCAGTACGTGTAACAATGAAATCAAACTAGTCATGGATAGAATGTTACCTTGTATCATAAATAAGAAACTTTTAAAGATCTGCATCAAGCTTCCATCAATACAAGAAGATTGTAATCGCACTTTGGTTTAAAGTTGAAATCACCGTCCGACTGAGGAATAACCGAGTACTTTCTGTAAGATAAAAGTGCTACCTGGGAGACAGCTATCTTGTTGGGCCCATAACTCAGACAGAGCAGCTATAAAGAGATGGGATGCACAGTAACTCTGCAGTGCCAAGGTGTCTTTATAATGCCTCAATGAAATGAATGATCTCATTCATTCTGTTTTCCACTTAATATCATCTTTTCTGTCAGTTTATTCGAAAAGTTTATTATTATACTAAATAAATGGAAGCAAATCGAAAGCCCAATGCTGATACTTCAATAGTTCTAAAAATTCTGATTTTATATTTTAAAATTTTAAAGATACATCATTATCAAATACTAATAAGAATGTTTTAACAAAAAACTCAAATTTTATATCTGCATTAAGCAATTATAGAAAAATACATAAAAATACTGAAAAGGAGTGAGAAATTAAGTAAATGAAAGTCTTAACCCTATTCAAAAATAAGAGCAGGTATAAGAACTATGCCTGGCTGGCTACACTAATTATACAAGAAGGAGTAGGGATTACTCATTTTCTAGTTTCTTCTTCTGATGTAACAATCTTCCGGGAAATTTAATTTTTGTGTGTCTATTAGATAACTATAATATGTCAAAAGCCTTCTGTGTTTGATACCTCATTTAATTCTAAACTCTGATGTTAATCAAATATATTCAGTTTAAAAAAAAACAGTCAAAAGCAAGTCTTTTTGTTATTGACTCCTATTAACATATATTTTGGGCAGGTGGCAGTCTTATTGACTTGTGTGAAATAGCAAAAAAAATTTATAGAACAATTTAAAATATAAGACAACTATTTGAACTACAAGGCAAGAAGGTGGAGCGCCTACGAATCAAGACTCAGCTGTGGATGATCACGGGGGCATAATCCAATTACAACTAAAAACACCGTGGAGAAAGGTTATCGATAACAAAAGCTATTTCCATGACCAAGGACAGAATTTTAGTTAACATGTCCATGTAGGATTTACGCCACGATAGTATACTTGTTATGCAAAAAGAAAGTATACAAGCTTCTGGAAAAAAAGAGAAGTAAAAAAGAAAAAAGAAAAATGATTCCACAATGTAAAATCAACGCATTTCTTAATTACGATCAGTTAGAACACATGGAGGCAAGAGGGGACAAAAAAAGCAGAAGACTGATTAACTCTTGATGATGGCTGGCAATGGTTATAGCAATGTGTCCCCAATATCACACACCCTCCAAGAATAGGAAAAGAGATTCTGAGCATATAAGCAAGATGAAGGACTCCTGGTGGTAAAGTTGGAAGTCCTCAGACACGGTAAGCGCCACCAGGATAAGATGAGTCTTCCTCAACAGCTTGTCTAACGTTATCTGGGAGCGTCTCGGGCAGACTGCGTGGTCTTCGTTTCATTCTGCCCTCTGGTCTTTTTGCTGAAGTTGTGAACTGAGGACCCACAGCAAAAAACTCATTTCTGAAGAAGGGGAGATGAATACTGACTCACTTAATGGTGTCAGATTTTGCCAGCTGATAGCTTTATATCTCAAAGGTAGAACTCCACCTTTGGAAAGTACTCATGATTATGTCGGGATGGGGTGGAGAGAGTCGATGGTGTCTGGCAGATTTTCAGCAGCTCTGTGCTGTCTGAGGTTATAAGGATGAAGAGAAGGCCTTACTAGGCAGACGGAACAAGAACTTGAGCTTAGCTGCTGTGGCACGGATGCTGCTGCTCAGACTCAGCCAGAGTCATCTCAGGTTGCAGAAGACCCTTTATTCTAGACCACTCTGAGATTTTTCTTTTTTAAAGAATATCTTTGGCAGAGCTTTTGTGGATGTTCTGAAGTAGGCAACACATTTCTAGAGAATATAGTGGGAGCTACTTTATTAACTGGAGTCCCTGGGTGGTTGCAAATGGTTAATGCGCTCAACTGCCAGTGAAAGTCTGGAGACTGGAGTCCACCCAGAGGTGGCTTGGAAGAAAGGCCTGGCAATCTACTTCTAAAAAAATCAGCCACTGAAAACTGTATGGAGCACAGTTCTACTTTGACACATATGGGGGTCAACCATGAGTCGGACTTGCCTTGACAGAAACTTTTTAACTTTCTTATTTAAAAGTTTTAGGATGATATCTAATGAAACAATTTATCCCTCTGCTAGTCCCTTTAAAATGCTTGAGGCTTCTACATGGTTTAGGAGCACTGGATATTTGAAAAATCTCTTTTCCTGTCAAGGTGTACCCAAAGTTGGTAAAGACAACCTCTCAAAGACTGAAGTTCAATTTTATACAAACTCCACATTTAGGTATATAAAATATTGTAGGCAAGAGGTTTATCAAACATTGTAGAAGACAAATTGGAATAGGAGCAGTGAGCTGGTAACAATGAAGAATTAAAAACAATTAATCAGAGGTGACAAATAAGAAAACTGCAGTTGAGATGAACTGAGAATTCGAGTACATTTACTTTCAAGTCATTCTTCTAAATAAGGATCCCGCTAGTGTAGCAAATAATTAATTTCCTGTTCTCCACTCATCTTTGCAACAAATGCCATCTGATGAGCCTTATCATACTATGAAAATGATTTTATTATCACTACTAAGAAATAACAACAAACCACCTTACATTTCTATGTGCTTTATAATGCACAAATGTTTTCATGTTTATTAGCTTGTAAATAGCAACAAAGACTAACGTAAAAGGAGCCTGAATTTCAAGATTTTTCTGACTTTTTCTTTTAAATTGGTTGTAAGATATACCGACATCTAATGTCAGCCAGGTTGCTGAAAACACTGTTGTTAGGAAACCTGGAAGCCCTGTTTGATGTTTACTTCAGTGGCTCCAACATGAACACAGATGGCTGTCTGACTCGTGAATGTGAGAATCTGGAACCAATCCTATTTTATAGACACCAGCCTTCAGCACTGGGCACCTAATTATTCTGATGATAGGTGAGTTTTGTCTCCATCACACGGCTTACAGCTAGGAGTCTGCTTCATAGAGAATATTTCACAGCATGCAACGAGCCTTAAAAAGCATGCCATAAACATGCAAACACGTGGTATCAGTTAAATCTGTTCAAAAAGCATTTTCTTCCTTTACAAGACAATTTGGATAAAAAATAATATAAGACATTCAAAATAGTTTTTTCTTTTTTATGTGCGTGGCTGTAGAAGTCTACTTTTTTTCCCCCTCTAAAGAATTACCATGTTTTTAAAAAGATGGACTGAATTATTTTATTCTCTTTGGGGATTAATCTAAAATTGCTTTTATTGTTACTTACATTACAGCTGTTCTAAAACTACCCCTCCATTTTTTCTTTATTTGGGAATAAAGTTTAAATTTGGACCTGTGCAAATTAGGGTTTCACATTCCTTCTGCTATTGAAGGTTGGTTCCAAATTACAATAAACAGTTTTCCTAGACCAGTATCCTTGAAATTCAGTCTTGCTTTACTGCTTTTACTATTCAGACTTCTTATACACCATTTCAAGAAAAAAAAAATGTTCTGCCAATTATTACACATCTGGAAAAAATCCAAGTATAAACTAAAATGTTCTCTGCAAAAAATGTCTGCTTTTTGCATATTGTCATCGTAGGATTTTCTGAGCCAATACAGAGCCAATACCCCGGCCCAAGACAGTGAAGAAAATTCTTTAAAGCTACTCTTTAACTTCTTTTTTTTTAAAAAAAAAAAAAAAAAAAAAAAAACCCTTTCCCCCAAAGAATCTGTAAGACACAAAACACTTGCAGGTGAGTTACCTACTACCTATTTTCACATGATCAAGGTACTTGGCCAAAATTAGAAGTAAAATGAGCATAGATTCTCTTGATTTAAAATTGCATACTTCCTTGGGGTTACTACAACTATGAAAAACATTTAGGACAACAGGCTTTAGGGATTATTTTAAAAAAGAAAGAAAAGAGAGCACTATTTCACCATTGAAGCTGATCGACTGCTTGAAACAAGGCTTGATCCTCCATAGTTTGAATTGAGGCTTCCAACTGGCGCATTATGGGATGGTCCCAATAAACTGTGTATATCACTGTGACCAGCAGGCAAACTGGTGGAAGGTCCCACAGCATGGTTCCGCAGCACATGGATGGCATCATCCAGTCTGTCTAAACGATCCTCCATTCGAGATTGCTGTAGGGATTGGAAAAAAACCAACAACAAAAAACATGGAGGTCATTGCTGATGCCTGTTAGATTCCTTAAACTGCTATGTTTCTACTTTGGGACACGTGGAAGATAGCAAGTGAAATGCGGTATCAAGTGGCTTCAAAAGCAATTGCCTACACTACAAACCCACAGAAGAAAGCTTCTCTGCAGACTACGCTAAATGAACAAAGCTTCAGAAACAAATGACCGCTTCGGAAAAGGAATTTACCAATCTACAATGAGGTTATTTCTTTTAGCTTCTATGAAAGATGAAGGCTCTGTCTGATACTCAGTTATAGTTGATAAAGGAGGACAACCTGTACTTTAATAGTGATCCTTCGAAATGATGGCAATTTGGGGAGGGGTCCTCAAATCCATCAAGTTCAAGTCGTAATTTTGTTTTAAGTGAATAAAACATACCTATCTTAAATTGTGAACACATTAAAATACGCTCTTGGACAAAACTTAGCAAACGACATTGTCCGTCTAGGGATAAACACATGCCCCCATACACATACATATTAGAATTTTAAAAATGAAAAGCACATGCCAGCAGAGCTCTTTTAAGAAGAATCACTCTCAACAATGTAAAAGAACAAAAGTCTATTCTTACATGCTGCTACAAAAACCGAAATGGTCAATTGTTCGATTTTAAAAGACTGAAGTCTGTACAGCTTGAGGATTTAAAATGGATAATGGGAAGTTTAATTAACTGAAACACAAAAAAGGCACCATCTAAAAGAAATAGTACCTCACAGACATCCTTTAAGAAGGACATTGCATCTTGCAAATGCTCGTGAAGTTGCTGCTCAACTCGATTTTTCTGGCAAAGTCAAGACAGAACAGGAGGCAAAGCACAGGTTAAGATTAACTCCAAAAGAGATGAGGAAATAGCTGATGTGCATGTCAGCATCAAATGTTAGTAAGTTAACGCAGAGACCTGCGAGATCTACCTGCATTAAGTTATGAGAAAGCTGGGACTTAGCAGCAAAGTTATAAGGTTAGCATCTAAACAGCACACACTTCTTATATTTGCTTACAAAATACGTGAGAAGAAACTTTTAATTTAAAATGTTCTGTTAGTCACAGAAAAAGAACTTTTTCATTTGCAACCTGGAACTATTGAATGATAAGCATAGCTTAGCATTCCATCAAATCATTCTTATTTTATTTTTAATTAAACTTTGTAATTCTGTGTTAGAAACATAAGCATAGTAAAGCAACAGTAGTTAACATTCAACCACAAATTCTTCACACTCAGTACCTAGTAAGGCTCCCTATGGTTTGTTAAGTAACATTTTTGCTTGTACAATTTGCATAATACATTCTTTGCTATAGGAAAATGGTATTCTTCATGACAAAAATAACTGCTATTATACTTTAAAATTTTAATGGAAATGTAGTAAACTATACAGAGTATCACTGCATGAGAGAGTAAAACACAACCATTTTGAATCACTAAATTAATTTTCTTGCCTTTTTTGGTCTTTTTAAAAAAGTTTTCCTCTTATCTGTAGACAGAAAAGTATAGAAAAATTCAGCTCTAGATTTTTCAAAGAAACAGAAATCCATGACAGAATTTTAATACCAGCTGTCTTGAGATCAGAAACGGGGTGTCCCAGAGAACAGATGGCAAAAGGCACACTGAATGTGTCCTATATTCTTCAACTAAATCGGGCCATTTGTTAGCAAAGAATTCGTGTGTAATGCTATCCTACTGTTTCTTCATTGTTACGCAAGATTTACTTTAAAAAAAAAAAACAAACCCAAACTGTCAGATAAACGTGACCTGTATGTTTCTAAGGGTTTCTTACCAGGGAGTGGAGTGAGTTTTCATAGCTTGGGGATGAAGGAGCTTGCCCTCCAGGTCTGGGCCACTGAGTGGTACCTGTTAAAACAAAACCCAAAAGCCCCCACACACCTGGGTTACCTCAGTCATCAAGGTTGAAAGTATTCAATAACTGGAAATAAATTTATGTGAAAATGTTTGTTCAGTCTTCAGCGTAGTACTGGCTACTTACAAGCCCAATAAAATGTAAAACTCTTTTTACACTATTTTGTAAAATACTTCAGGGAGTTGAGAAAAAACCTATACTTGATAACTACTTTTATGTTTGTATATTTTTCAGACACTGTCCATATGTATACATCTTGAGAAAATGTACTTATAATGTACATGATTTTGTATCATTTCCTGCTTTCACGGTTTTACACAGTTTTTATGACATGCTGTTAATGACTACATAATATGCTCCTGATTCTCTACATCATCATTTGCTTAACCACCATTATGTTACTGCTGAACATTTTGACTGCTTTCGATTTTCTGGCTGTTATGAATAACGGTATAGTAAATCTTTCCCCCACCCCTTTCTTGGGAATATGTCTTGAGGATCAGCAACGTTTCTGAATTAAAGGGGATGAACATATTTATGACCCTTGATTCACAAGGCTGCAATGCTCTACAAAATGGTCATAGTAACTTACACTACCTCTGGTGATGCCAGGGCACACCAATTTCAAATGACTGTAAATGCACACAGGATTATCTGTTAAAAAATTCCCCAACAAAACTTACACCAAAACGTATTATTTAATGCGGGAAGTATCATTAGAAAAACTTTTGGTGTTGTTTATTCTTCAACTTCAGAAAAGTAACAAGGATAAAAAAAAATAAAGAAAGTAGAAAGATAAAGAGAGGAGACAGAAAGTAAGAGTGGAAAGAATAAAAAGCATTTAAAAACATAAAGACGATAACACGAGAGGAAGGATTCACGCATCTGGGTGGTGAGGAAAATGGAGTGTTTGAATGGCCTTGCTTCATTCCAAAATTGCTTTAAAAGGACAAAGACGAACAACGGATCTAAAACCTTTACTAGTCCATGATTGTGTTTTTGAAAATATCAGTTATTTATAGAAAATATAAAGACCGTTCACTTTTTATATATATATATAAGCTTCAGTGAAAACCCGAATTGTATTAGAAACCTGGAGTTGGAAGTTGAAGGTTTACTTAACTTTTCTCACTTTTTGCAAAATGAAGTTTAAAACTGTTTTCCACTACAGCCTTTTGCTACAGGTCAATCTTGCCACATTTAGGAAGCTAATGTAAGACTGTAGTGCACTGTCACAAAAATTAAGGTAAATTAGACCTGTTCACTTAGCTGAATGCCATTTAATTACTAACTACCTAGTAATTATATTCATATCAATTACACATTTTACAAGTTAAAAAGTTGGATGTACATTTTCTTAATAACCTGATTAGATTTCATAATTAATTTATATGCATACTGTTGTGATCATACAAAAAATTTTAAACATGAAAATTGTAAGAAAAAAATGTTATATACTTCATCAACTAAGAAATATTTTACCTATAAGAAAAATACAAGCTAATTATTTTGAGGAACATTAAAGGTTTCCTGCTAGACATACAAACATAATCTTGAAGCAGCTATACAAATAAATTATGGACAATCTACATTTGCTCATTAACACACAAGCTTATACAATAATTTAATAATGAACAAGTAGAACCTGGCAACCAGAAAAACGCAGTAACTATATGAAGAATTCATACAAAAAAACAGCCAGCCAACATGTCACCCGTGCCCAGTGAGTGAGTGCTTTCTAAACTCTGATGCAGAATTAAGAATTTTTATGACTGTAAGGTTAATCACAACTTATTCTGAAAAAGAGCTGTCTAAATTATTCAAAAGAAAAATTTCCCCTTATGTTTTCAGTATCTTACCTTCCAATCATTTTCCTCCACCTCCCCACTCCCCTCTTTGGTTGATAGACTTGTGACAGACGGCTGATCAAATTACTTAAATCCGTGTGGAATATTAACAAAAGCTGTATGTTTAAACACCTCAGAATTGTCAGCACGCATGTGCTTTGCAAGAACAGGCAGTTTTCGTGGTTCCTCGTGAGCTTAGTGTTGGCGAATCAGATTACAAGCACTGAGTTATTAAGAAGTCACCTACACTCATTCTGTACAATAGTGATATGAAGAAAGTATGCCAATGTCTATCCCAAAATGTAATCCATCAAACTGGGAAAGATACAGATATACTCCGCATTTTTAGTGTGTATCAGTCTGTATACACTCAAACCTGTTCTGTTTTATTATACAGCGGACTATCCTCCTATAACGCACTTGGTTGAAGTAGAATCCTAACATAGTTAAATCACAGATGACGACTGTAAATCACTGGTAACAACCATCAACATGGCCAAATCACAGACAACACTGCCATTCCTCTCTCCTACCTTGCTGCAAGAGCTCTGATTTTGTTCAGAAGGGTGTCTATATTCCCGAATGTGACTCAGGAGAGAGTAATTCTATTCTTAGCACTTGGGATAAATCCTAATGTCCAAGATAAACATGGTGGCCCCATCCCTGTTGTGAGCAACTGCATTAGACCCAATGCTGGCCGATGAGACACGAAGGCCATCTGTCACAAAAGGATTCTTAAAAGACTCAAGGAAGACAGGGTCCTCTTTCTACTGTTGGACATTATTATGTCCACATGTGGTACCTGGGACTGCTGTCCTGCCACCTCAAAGAAGCAGAGCAGGAGCCCTGACGTACCAGGCCAGGAACTTGCTCTGGCTATGGGCTTCTTGGTATACAAGGTAACAAAAATCCCCTTACTGTTCAAACCAGTCCAGACAAGAGTTGTTTCTCTTCCTTTCAGCCTAAAACATCCCAATCATCGTCATCATCTTAGAAGCTTCCTCACAAGCATTCTGTAGGTAGAAATGTATGCTTCTGGTCTGAAAAGTTCCCAAGAAAATTGAGGGGGATTTAAACAAGAATGATTGCCTTTGAAGATGTGTGGCTCTGCCCCTGCGTATCCCTCCTCACAAGGCCTGTGCTGTCTGTCCAACACTCAGGCGTAAGGAATAGGTCCAGTACAAACAGCACACAGAAGACAGTGTTTCCACTCTAGATAACGGGAGACTACCACACAAGGTGGGACTAGTCCCTGGAGAAGGGCATCATGCTTGGTAGAGGATCAGCGAAAAAGAGGAAGACTCTCAATGAGATGGACTGACACAGTGGCTGCAACAACAGGCTCAAACACAGCAGAGATCATGAAGACGGCGCGGGACCGGGCAGTGTTCTGTCCTACTGCACGTGGGGTCACTATGCGTTAGAACTGACTCAACAGCACCTAGCACCACCACCACCACACAACGTAGGAAATAATCGTACAGGAGCTCTGCTTGTTTTTCTTCCTTCAACTGTGCATGTTTCATCATATATTTGCTCTCCTTTCTTCCGCCTTCTTTTTCATCTCTGCTCTGCCCTCTTGGGGTGTGTGGGAGGATGCAGAGGTAAGAGGGAAACACGACGCAGGAGACGAGAGAGAGAGACACCTGTAAAAAACCAGCCCTGGGTGCACTGTTTCGGCAGGAACATGATGAAGTATTTTTCTCTGATCATGACTGCTGAATTGAAAAAGCCTATCAATTCCTTAATTACACAATTCAACAGTCTCGATATTCATTAATCATCTGAATTAAGAGGGCAAAGAGAATATCACCCATTAAACATCAAATAAAGATGGAAGATGAAATGTGAGATTGTACTTTGGAGCATTCTTTTTAACAAAGTGTCTAAGTTTCTGGTTCTCCATTCCACTGACGTCCCTTCAAGGATGCTGAACTCCTCTGCACCCGCCTTCCTACCTGGTGTTAACGGAAACCAAAGGACCCCTTCGCAGCTATCTTACTAGGTAGAGGAGAGGCAGGGACAACATCCAGTGAGGGCTGATGTGGACGCCTCAGATGAGAAAGTCAAAGAGGCTGTGGCAGAAATGACGCTGATAATTTTAGTAAAACTGTGCCAAGAGGGTGCGTAGGGTTACATTTACATCATTCTTCCTGTAATTTCAGCCCTTTGTTAAACAACAACTTTAAGTCAATGGGTCTCTTTCATAGTTCTGTCTATGTGGGGAACAGCTGTTCAACTTTTACTAGACAGCTGAGGCCATGGAGTCTGAGAAAGTGCTAGAACCACTAATAGCTGGAAGCAGCTGCCAGCAGTTCATCATCCCACCCTGGAATGCCGCTTAGGCTCACACACAAAGCACAGGTGATGCAGAGCGCCCTGGTATCGCAGAGCCCTGCTGTTCAGAAGCACCGAACAATGCAAAAAGGCTTAGCCAAATAAGTAACTAAAATAAAATAAAAGCTACACGGACATAACTAATGACTTCATCGGGAAAGGAGGAATTTTGGAGGTGCACTGTTGTAGGAAGAATATGGCAGTTTTATCCCGCTGTCTACTGTATTTTCCTTAGAACAAATGAACACATTTCTTCAGCGTGCTCAGAAAAATACAGCTCAGTCCAGGTTTTTAAATTATACCTTAACAGGGCCTGGCGGAGCAGTGGTTAAGAGCTCAGGCTGCTCAAAGGTCAGCAGTTTGAATCCACCAGCCTCTCCTTGGAAACTCTATGGGGCAGTTCTACTCTGTCCTATAGGGTCGCTATCAGTCAGAATCGACTCGTTGGCCAACGGGTTTTTTGGTTTTAACAGGTATAAAACATCTTCTTGTCCTTTTATTTATTCCTAATAAATCTAAACAGATCCCATTTATAATAATGACAAATGTGTCTCAACAAATTTATACTCTCGAAAAGTATCTAGAACTCCTCAAAGCTCATGTGAAAACAAAGAAAGAAACAATGACAGGAAAAAGTAACGCAAATCCGAACTGCTTGTTCACCTCCACTAACGGTATTTATCCACACTCATACAGAGTCCTTTAGTTTAGCAAAAAAACTACATCGTCCCAAAGAATTAATTATACACACACATATATAAAATAGCTTAACCGAAACAAGAAAAAAATAAAAAGAAAAACCCAAACCCATTGCCGTTGAGTCGATTCTGACTCATAGTGACCCTATAGGACAGAGTAGAACTGCCCCATAAGGTTTTCAAGGAGTGGCTCATGGATTCAAACAGCCAACCTTTTGGTTAGCAGCCGAGCTCTTAGCCACTACACCCCCAGGGCTCCATAATAACTTTGTACACCTAAAAATATAGAAAATCTGGCAGAAACAAGGTTATGTATCACTGAGTCTTACACATGGTACAGAGTAAACGTGGAGAACAAGAAAGTTATTTTCTATGCTATCTTAGAAAAATTTTTTATTTATTTTACTCTCATCCTGATGGCCTAATCTTATTTTTATCCTATTATAAAAATCACCCTTAGAAATTACCACAAATTATTTTAGGATTGAGGCTATAAATAGATAATTAGATTCAAAACAAGCAATTATTTTAATATTCTGCAAAAATGAACTGAACAGGAAGGCTCTGTTTACATGCTTTTTCTCATAGTCAAAAACTAACGGGTTCTTTTTCATGACTATTACTGGACTTTATTGAAAAGTCAATGGATTTATAATTATTTCCAAGTAGCCCTATACATGTTATTAAGTAGTTAGATAAGACAAAAACCTACCTGTGAGAGGTGAGGGTGAGCCAACTGGTGTTGATGGATTTGATGGGAAACTACTGCTGGTGTGATCAGGAGAATAAATCTAACCAGAAAAAAAGAGAAACACATGTGTGACAACAGCAAAAACAGAAATCCACGGACATGAAGTTCTTTTTGTACTTTAAGTTGTCACCACCAGAGATACAGAGTAAAAAACTGTCCCATCAATTTTAGGACTGATTCATTACAGAAAGGGTATAGAAGCCGCTGTTTTAAAACCAGGATTAAATTATCATGTACATTCTAGCATGAGACGAATAAGATAGATCGTATCTATTACCTTATTATTCTAGTCAAAAACAAAGTTTCTAATTGTTAGAAGAGAAAATGGAGAAGTGGCACAAAGTTAACAAATCTGATAAACCATCCTTCTAGAATATACCATCTAAAGTGGAATCCTTGCAAAATAAAAATCACTTCTGGAAGATATCTTTTGGGATGGTCTGTAATTACAGTTTTTAATAGTTACTCCCTAACTCTCACTGAAAAAGTTACCTAGTTTGATCAACTACATTTTTGCCAACTTTAGCTCGAAATGACATAAGAGTTGTAAAAAATTAAACTTTCTCTCAAAGGATAATTTGTCACCTTTGAGGAAAGCGAAAAGCTCAGAAAGTGGTTCAAAAAAATGTTCCCAAAATGGCTTGTGCACTTCAGCTCCCAAGAGGTCTATTTGAAGAGGATAACATATTTGTATGCATAAATTTGGATGTTTTGGCTAAAAGTTTCACTTCAATACTTTATTTCATATTGCCAAAAAAGTGACAGATTCATTCAGGCTTACCTAATTAATTTAACCAAGTTTACCAATTACCTAATTAACCAGTAGATTTCTAAGTCTCCTTAATTCAGGCACCAGGGCCCCTAGGAGCTATCTTCTGGGATAATTCTGTGCCTGTAACCGACACAGTCCATCACTTTCCCATCTCTGCACACAATTCAGGGTAGACAAACCAGCTTACGTGGATAAACTGTGGTCAAATATTTTTAAAAGAAAAGCCGCTTGTGGGTGCAAAGAGTCGTCCAACAGAAATAACCTTGCTCTGAATAAGTTTAGAGATCTAATGAATTTAAAGAGGGCTAAAGTATGGCATATAGGAGGTTTTAAAGAAAGCATACTGCTGAAAAAGCCAGACACTGAGACAGGTTCATGGAAAACAAAATGCTACAAGTCACCGTTAACAAGCACAAAGGCTTTCAGTTTTTAAAAAGAGGACAGCACTAACTCAACATTGCAGCACTCAGAAACTATTCTCCTTTTACTAAAAACGAGTATCTGTCTCGCATAAAACACACCGATTTATACGATGCTATGAAACTGCTGTAATTGTAAATGCTTTCCAACATTGACTCTCTCTCTAAATGGCCAGATCCAGGAGTTGTGGATTCAAGTTAGATTAGAAAGTCTTTTTGGAAAAGCAAAGATACCAAAAAGAGTTCAAAAGACTTTACAGGAGGACTTGGGAACAGAAAGGGGGTATAAGACAGGAGTCCCTGGGTGGTGCAAATGGTTAATGTGCTCAGCTGCTAACCAAAAGGTTGGAAGTTCGAGTACATCCAGAAGTGCCTGAGAAGACCTGCAGATCTACTTCTGAAAAACCACCCACTGAGAACCTTGTGGAGCACAGTTCTACTTTGATATACAAGGTCGCCGTGAGTTGGAATCGACTCGACAGCAACTTTTTTTTTTTTAATGTTATAAGACCAGTGTTACTGGTTTTAAAATTGTTAGCTTTGAAACAAATTCAGGGGACTTGTAGCCTGCATACATACATTGATTTATTTCAATCATGTAAGTAAATTATCGGGTGAAAGACCTCTTTAAAGTGTTAAAAAGCAAAGATGTCACTTTGAGGACTTAGATGCGCCTGGCCCAAGCCATGGTATTTTCAATCACCTCGTTGTTGTTGTTAGGTGCCGTCGAGTCGGTTCTGACTCATAGCGACCCTGTGTACAACAGAATGAAACACTGTCTGGTCCTGCGCCATCCTCACAATTGTTGTTATGCTTGAGCCCATTGTTGCAGCCACTGTGTCAATCCATCTCATTGAAGGTCTTCCTCTTTTTGGCTGACCCTCTACTTTACTAAGCACGATGTCCTTCTCCAGGGACTGGTCCCTCCCGATAACATGTCCAAAATATGTGAGATGAAGTCTTGTCATCCTTGCTTCTAATGAGCATTCTGGCTGTACTTCTTCCAACAATCGTCTCATATGCATGCAAAAGCTGGATAATGAATAAGCAAAATGGAAGAATTGATGTCTTTGAATCACTGTGTTGGCAAAGAATACTGAATGTACCATCGACTGCCAGAAGAAAAAACAAATCTGTCTTGGAAGAAGTACAGCCAGAACACTCCTTAGAAACAAGGATGATGAGACTTGGTCTCTCGTACTTCGGACATGTTATCAGGAGGGACCAGTCCCTGGAGAAAGACATCATGCTTGGTAAGATAGAGAGTCAGTGAAAAAGAGGAAGATCCTCTTTTTCGGGTTGGAATGGACTTTTCGTCGGAACTGACCTGACGGCACCTAACAACAAACCGAGAACATCAACAAAAATATGTCTCAACATCCCTCTTTATCTTTGTAAACCACTACTTTTTATGTTCAAGAATCAGATAATTATATACTTTTATGAACAACTATAATTTTTATGAACTTCGTCTTGACTATAATATCGGTAAGGGCCGATAACACTGATGGTGAGGAGATGCAAAGGGAGAAAAGCTTCAGTTCCGCACAAAACTGTGATAATCACAAGCTAGACCAACCCACTGAGTTTCAATTTCCTAGTCTGTAAGGGTAAATTAGCATGAAGGCATTGGAGAAATACCATTCCCTCCATCACACCCTCCCTCCTGGATTTTTTTCTTCATAGTGCTTACATTATATCCCTAAACTGTCTAAGTTTATTTACTTGTTTATTATCTGTTTCTTACCCTTCCCCTAGTACAACATAATCTCTGGAAAAGCAGGGACTTTGTCTTATTCACTGTTGCAGCTTCAGATTCTACAACAGTGTCTGGTAAATGGTAGGGGTTCAATGAATATTTAAAGACTGAGTATCATCCTTGCTAAAAATCCATTGCCACTGAGTCAATTTCGACTTATAGTATCCCTACAGGACAAAGTAAAACTGCCCCATAGAGTTTCCAAGGAGCGTCTGATGGGTTTAAAATGCTGACCTTTTGGTTAGCAGCTGAGCTCTCAACCACTGGCCATCCAGGGCTCCTCATCCTTGCTAGGAATTTCCATTTGAGTTTTTCTTTTCAGTCCTTGAATTATTTACCTAGGTTCCACCTCTCTTTTACTCTTCTAGGAACTCTAATGTAGGTTTCCCTAGAGTTCTAGTTCCAGTTTTCTTGGGTATTTATCTATGCTTTCTCTTGGTAATAACATTTTTTGTAAAGTATCCACTACCACCTCCCTGTGAATGACTCCTAAATTGACATGTACATCCTCATGCTAGTTGCCAGACTTCTTCATCTGGACATGCTTTTATCTCAAGCTGTTGTTTTTAAATGCCATGGAGTCAGTTCTGACTCACAGCCACCGTACATACAACAGAACGAAACAGTTGCTATGCTTGAGCCCATTGTTGCAGCCACTGTGTCAATCCTTCTCAAGCTAGGTATGCCTAAACCCAAACTTTGCTACACCACCCCAAGATTCCTACCCTTCCCACCTCTACTCTTCTGTCTCCTCGACCTAGGTTAGCATATCCATTCTCATGCTCGCCCAAATCACTATCTCCCCAGAAATAAATCCATACATATACCGTCAGCTGATTTTCAACAAGGGTACTTGGTGAAATGGGAAAGGAAGAGTCTCTTCAATAAATGGTGCTGGGAAAATTGAATATTCACATGCAGAAGAATAAACCAGGACCCAACCCTTAGTCTATACACAAAACCCAGAATGGATCAAGGACCTTAAAACATTAAAGGACCTTAAAATATTAAAACCATAAAATTCTTAGAAGAAAATGTAGCGACAAAGCTGTGGGACCTAGGCTTTTATGATGAGGCATCAGATATAACAACAAAGGAATGAGCAGCAAAAGACAAAACAGACAAATGAGACCTGATAAAAATTAAAACATTTCTGTTCATCAAAAGACTATCAAAAAAGTGAAAAGACAGCCTACAGAGTCAGAGAAAATTTTTTGGAACCATATATCCAATAAATGTCTAATATCCAAAATTTATGAAATACTTTTACAACAACAACAAAAAAGACAAATAACCCAATCAAAAAATGGACTTGAACAGACATTTCAGCAAGGAAGATATTCAAACAGCCAACAAGCACATGGAAATATGTTCAAAGTCATTAGCCATTAGGGAAATGCAAATCAAGACCACAATGAGATACCATCTCACCCCCGTAAGAACGGCCATGATCAAAAAGACAATGAACACTAGGTGTGGGTGAGGCTGTGGAGAAAGACACACACTCATCCATTACCGGTGAGAATGTAAAATGGTACAGCTGTGCGGGAAACAATTCGACAGTTCCTCAAAAAGTTCAACATAGAACGACCATATGACCCAGCAATTACACTCTTTGGTATTTACCCAAAAGACCAGAAAGCAGCAACATGAACAGACACACATATACCAATGTTCATCACTGCACTATTCACAATAGCTAACAGGTGGAAACAATCGAAATGTCCATCAACAGACGAATGGATAAGCAAAATGTGGTGCATACACACAATGGAGTATTACTCAGTCATAAAGAGGAATGAAGTCCTCATGCATGCCACAACATGGATGAAGCTTGAGGACATCATGCTGAGTGAAATAAGCCAGACACGAAAGGAAACTGTACAGTAACACTTATGTGAAGTACGAAAATACACAGAAATCAAAAGTAATTAGTGGTTATGGGGGGAGGGGTTTGCTTACAGTACACTGCAGGTATGTTAATGGTGGTGGGATAATTTGGAAAAAGAGAGCAAAGATGGTCGCACAACTTGAAGAATGTAATCAACGCCACTGCAGCGTACATGAAGAAGTTGATGAAATATTATATG